CACTCACATGGTTCACACACAAAGAAGCAGGCACACGTGCATATACATATAATAAAAATAAAAGTTAAAAGCTGAACTTTGGGTTCTTTGTAGATAAAGTAACATTTTGGAGTCTGTGTGTGTGTGTGTGTGTGTGTGTGTGTAGGAATCAAACCCTAACCCTTGCCCTCTCTGCCCGTGCACTGTACCACTGAGCACTGAGCTGTACCCCACATTCCTTCTCTCTTTTGTGAAGGAATTTCTGCCTAGTCTGTGGTCCAGTTAACTTTAGTGGAATTTTAAATATTGGCATTGTGAACAGAACAACTTGAAAGAAGCTTTCTGACATAGATTTAATAATATTATCTTTCTAAAAAACTTTTTATTTTATGTGTACAAGTGTTATGCCTGCATGTATGTAAGTGCTCTTAACTGCTGAGCCAGCTCTCCAGCCCCAACAATATTAGCTTTGTCACGAAGTGCCTGAGGAAGTCAGAAGAGGGCATTGGCCTCCTTGTGGTTGCTGGAATTTGAACTGGGTCCTCTGTAAGAGCAGCCAGTGCCCTTAACTGCTGAGCCATCTCTCCAGCCCCAGCAATATTATCTTTGTTTATGGCTTAGAAACAGGAAGAAGGTTCTGGAGTTAGGGTCCTGAGTGGGACTATTAGGATGTTGCCCAGCCTCTAAGAGTGCATCGTGCTGCTGGTGCTGAGTGGCTGTGGACAACAGGGCTCCCGAGTTGGGCTGGAAGACTTGATCTTTTTTACTCTTTTTCAACTTTGAGTATATTGCCTGTAGAAACAGTTATTACTCTAGCGGGGGCGTTAAAATTTTCATTTAGACATTTGTTAGCTTTTCAATTAAAAGATACCTGGGGGTCATGAGGTGGCTAGTCAGGTGAAGGCACTTGCTGCCAAACCTGACAACCTGAGTTTGATTCCAGGGATCCATATGGCAGCGACTGCTGTGAGGGTCCTCTGCCCCCATGCATGTGCTGTGGTACACAGCCCCCCCCCAATAAAAGTTATTTTGAAAAAGACATATAATTCATGTGGCATGTCATCTGTGTAGTCAGTGTCCATGAAGAGAAACTGATCATACACTGCAGGTAGGAACTAATTAGGCTTTAGTGATATGCTGTGTGGTAAAACCCAGAAGATAGCAGAAGGCATCTCAATAAAAAGAAACATAAGTCAGAACAATAGTCACTAGGGGACTGGAGAGATGGCTCAGCAGTTCAGAATACTGGTGCTCTTGGAAAGGACTGGGATTTGGATCCCAGCACCCACATGAAGGCTAACAATCTTTGTAACTCCAGTTCTGGGGATCTGACACCCTCTTCTCATGTCCTCTGAAATTGCACGACATGGGTACACTTACACACATGCAGGCATAGCACCCATACACATAAAAACTAACTAAATAAATAAATAAGTCACTAGATTCTCACATGTTGATAGGGGAAATCCCCAGGGTACATTGTTAGAAGCAAAAGAAGGCACAGCTTGAATTCAGATGTTTAATACAGTGTGTGGAGGAAGAAGACCATGACTGACAGCTTCACATGCATCGGCTGGGTCACTGTCATCACTCTAAGCACCAGAAGGGAATCATCCATGCTGGGTAGAAATTGTTCACTCTGTACACGCGTGTTTATGTTTTCTGAGAACGAGCACTCTTAAAATAAAAATGATAACCTTGCACACCCTCTTGTGGCACGCACTGTCCACAGCACGGAGCACTGTGTTCCTTCAGTTTTCGAATGAATGGGACACGCCATATCTGTGTACATATCAAAACTAAATTGGACTAGAATAAGTTATTTTGTATTAGTTTGTATAGATTTTAAATTGGTATATAATTCGTATGCAAAAGTGGCTTTTAGTCTACTTTCTGTCTACCTTCAAAGTAGTAAACCACTACCACTGTGTGATTCTAGAATGCCGTTTCCTTCCCAGCAAGAAGCCCCACACCTTTTAACAGGGGTTAGGTTAGCATGGTTCTCCCTCCTCTGTGCCTGGCAACCATTAGCTCACCGGGTGTCTACACTGCCTGCCCTGGGCACCATGCTCAGGTCCATTTCTCAGGCTCTCTCCCTGCTGGTGAGTGTTCGGCCTCTGGCTACCACCATCCCTACCCCCGCTCCTAACCCCTCAGCTTCTCAGCACCTCCTCCCCTCCCTGAAGCGCCTCCCCTGCCTTCCCTGACAGCCCGAGCTCAGGAGTAGCTGAGGGGGACACAGGCAGGTTGTCAGAGGCCTGGCTGTGGCTGTGAATGCCACGGGTACAGTGCATCCCAGCAGACCTGCCTGCTTCCAGGCACTCTGCCATTTGGGACGGCTGCTACGAGGCTCTTATCGACTCACTTGGTATAGCTTTTTTTTTTTTTTTTTTTTTTGGTCTTTTTGAGACAGGGTCTCCCTGTAGCCCCAGCTATCCTGGATATCCTGGAACTCACTATGTAGACCAGGCTGGCATTGAACTCACAGAGATCCTCCTGCCTCTGCCTCCCCAGTGTTGGGATTAAAGGCACGCCCCGGCTGGTATAGCATTTTTATCTTTTTGCTTCTTTGGCATTTTATAGGAACAAAGACCTACGGTTATCATTTTCACTTGTTTGTGTACAGGAAGGTGTGTTACAGAACAGGAACACGAATCATTTATCATCAGCTTAGTCCTTAGTTGACCCTCAGAAATAGGAATTCACTTCCCAGGAATCATCATTTCTCCTCAACAGACTCCTCACTGAGCACACAGCTTCCTGGATGCTGCAGAGCAGCACAGACTGGAGTTATAAGTAGCTGAAATCCTGCCAGGGTTTCATAGCTCGCAAACGAAAGCCAAAGATCAGTTCCCGAAGCCCAAGTTCTCTGTTCCCGAAGAGTCAGATTGTCACAGAAGTCATTTGAGCTCAGTGGCTCAGGTCTTGCCTTTCATTCTGTTAACTCAGCATGTGGACGCTCAGCACCGAATGTTAACTCAGCATGTATACACTCAGCACCAACCACCTTTCAAGGCCCTGTTGTAGCTGCCTGGGGGCTGTGAGTCAGCAGAACAGACCCAAATCTCAGTCATTTGAGCCTGCCCTCTCTAGGTGGGAAGTGCTATGGAGCAAAGTCACAACATGGTATCTGCTGGGATGGACTGGGGCACAGGCTGGCTGGTGGTGGGCAGAGGATGGGCTTTCTGCAGACCCTTCCATCCAGGCCACTCTTCCACTTAGCTCAGAAAGGTGAGCTCGCATGAAAACTTAATGGCAGGTTGTAAGCAGAGTTTGACCCCTTGAAGTCATCTACAGATTGCACACAGGCTCCTTCACTTTGCTACAGCAGTGTTCTGTTTTACTGAGGTTAAACCCAGGTGTGCTAACCCTCCCATTCATTAATGTGTCTACTGCTGGCCATTTCTATAACAGTCATGAAACAGCAGGAAGCAGCACATGACGAGGGCTTGGGCAGGGGGCGGGGGTAGAGGAGCAGCTCTGCCCAGCTTCCCCCCGAGCACCTGTGTCTACCCCTCATGCCTGGGATGGGGGGGTGTCCCTTGCACTGGCTCAGCTCTGAGTCTCACACTGAGACTTGAGGGAAGTCGGGGAGGACAGATGCTAGTAAGTTTTGGAAGTCTTTCCCTCCGTTTATCTAACAGGTATATGACATGGTGTGGAAAAGGAGGGGTGTGGAGGAGGGAAACTAAATCTTGTACTTTGAAGGCTACCCAGGCCTCTTCCCACAGGCCTTCCCTGAGGCTTCACACTTGGCCTCTGACCTTTCTTACTGAGGTACATGGGGAGCAGGGCTGGCAGGGCAGGCTGAGTGGAGACAGAGGACCTCGGGCCTGTGCACTGGAGTCTTTCAGCTGGGGCCTCCTCAAGGAGGAGTATGAGAGACTGGGCAGGAACTTTTCTGAGGACGCTCACAAGGCTTGAATAAATCGTAACAGTGTCTAGCTTTCAAAGTTCCTTATTATAAAACACATTGTGTAGTATCTGGAAAATAAGGAGAGAAGACTTTATGCCTTGTACCGCCATCTGAACTCATAAGTGCGTTTAGGTAGTTATGTGCTAGCAAATATTTAAGATGATTACTCAGTGTTAATGTGTGTTTATCAATGTTCGGTGTGACGTTCATTAAAGCCAATATTTCCCGAGGAACCTGTTTATCTTCTTTGGCGTCCTTTCATGTTTTCACTCACTGACCTCGGATCAGCTGAGAGCTGCCCAGTCTGGGATCTCTGTAGCTGGTTTAGGAGTCCATCATAGGACTTGCAGGTGGGAGCAGAAACATTTGTAGCCAGGGGTGGGAAATGAACCTGTCCAGGGGGACAGGAGACCCATCCATTCCCATGTCCCTCTGCCAGTCCTGACCTGAGCACCTTCATACCTGCCTGAACCTCAGTCCCACAAAGGGGCCTCACCCTGGGCTCCTCACTGGTTCTGCGTGACAGTACTGTGGCTCTGTGGTGGGGGACTGAGTCAAGGTGACCTGGGCTTGGTAACCCAAGGGCAGAGGGCAGAAATGGGCACCCTGCTTGCCACAGTCACGCTCTGACATTGGTGCCCTGGGGGAGGTGCGGCTGAAGGAAGGGTGATAGTGTGCTGGCCCAAGCCTGGGCCAGCATATCACAGTGTGACAGGACTGCCCAGAACTGGTCAGGAAGTTAACCCGAAAAGAAGATTGGCCAAGAATGGCTGTTGCTTTGGCCGGGTTGTTAGAATGTTGTGCATAAGCCTCTGAGTGTCAGCACAGAAAAACATGGATATTGTTAAAAGTCTTGGAAGTATAGTTTACCACAGCTGCTTTTCAAGAAGTGTTTTGAATAGCAATATTGATAATATTGTCTGGGCAAAGTAGAAAAAAGGAAGGTACTTTGGGTAGTCTTGTTCCCATGGCAGTCTAGGTTTGGGAAGGGTGCTCTAAGTGCTGAAAGAAGCCCTCAGGCACTTTGGTTTTCTAAACCAGTTTGTTGTGCCTTTCCGAGGCAGAGGGTCACACACGCTCCTTATCATTGCTTTTTTCCTGACAGAATTTCTCTTTCCTAACATGGAGTCGAGCAAAAAGATGGATGCTGCTGGTGCACTGCAACCCAACCCACCACTGAAACTGCAACCAGACCGTAGCACGGGGTCAGTGTTTGTCCCAGAGCAGGGAGGCTACAAGGAGAAGTTTGTGAAGACGGTGGAGGACAAATACAAGTGTGAGCAGTGCCGCCTGGTGCTCTGCAACCCCAAGCAGACCGAGTGTGGGCACCGGTTCTGTGAGAGCTGCATGGCCGCCCTGCTGAGGTGGGTGCTGCCCTCCTGCGGCTGCTGGGCAGGGCCGCTGTGCCCGCCCTCACGCGTTCAGCACTCCTTATTTTTCTCAAGCACATCTTGAAGGCTTCAAGCCCAGCTTGGGAGGCCTTTAGGGAGACGCAGGCAGATGCCATGCCTGAGTTTTCTGAGACCTCCGAGCCCTGTCCCACCTGCCTCGCATCCTACCCCCAAGCCTCTCCCCAACATCGCCCCAATGGTGTTGACCACTCTGTCTACAAAACCTGTGTGTCCGTGTGTGGCTGTGTTCTGCTCAAGGAGCTCATGGTTCATAGTGGCAGCAACAGCAAATGAACGCGAGTCATTAAGTGTAGAAAAGAGCTTCTGGGCCAGGGCAGACGATGGCCAGGGTCAACATGCCGGACAGCAGGTGCAAGTCCCAACGCTCACCTAGGGGTACAGGTAGTGTTTGCATAAAGACCCTGGTATGTCAGGAACCTAGTTGAGGTGCTTTGGTATAATCACATGGGCACACTGAAGCCAGGACAGGAGTCTCGTGAGCTGCGTACAGTGGTGCGATCACAAAGGCAGGCATTGTGTTGGCCAGGGAAGAGCCTCATGAGTGGGTACTGTGTATTTGCCAGGCATTGTGCTCGACACTGGAGTCACCGCAAGGCATAGTGCACCCCAGGACACACTGGCCTGAGAGGGACACCCAGCTCCTCTTTCCAACTGGTCACTCACATCTGGGGCACCTAAGACCAAGTCTGAGCACAGCAGCCACCCCTGCTCACCAGTGTCCTCATCTCGTCCTCAGTTCTCTTGTAGGCTTTTCCACTGGACCCACACAGCCCACTTGGCTTTGCCTGCTGAGGGTTAGAGGACTCCAAGCCCAGCTTGGTGGTAGCACAGAAGACTTATCACCTGATTCCCTCAGAACAGTACCTACTGTATCTTGGACCCGGGACAATCTTAGAGTGGGGTAGCCCAGGGGTATAGGCAGCTCCCCTATGCAGATGGTATTGGTGTTTTTATACACCATGAAACTGCTGTGGCCCAAGACCAGAACACCAGGAGGCCTTTGGCATCTGTGGGGGCTCCCTTCAGAGAGGTCCTCTCGGAGAGCCAGTGTGGTTCTAGCAGGACAAGTCACTTTCATATTTGAGGGAAACTTTCTAAGTGGGACTAAACGAAGTTATTGAACTTAATAGCTTCCTTTTGAAAAAATACTATTTTTAAAAGTTCAGCTCTTTTCTCCTGTGGCTTCATATTGAAATTAGATTTTCTGTCAAGTCAGAGCAGGCCTGACTACAAAGGGAAGGATTTATGTGCCTCGTGAGCCTGAGGGGAAGGAGCCATTGCCCTAATGGTCTTGCTATGTTTCTTTCAGCTCCTCAAGTCCAAAATGCACAGCGTGTCAAGAAAGCATCGTCAAAGACAAGGTATTCTTGTTTGTTTCCTTCTTCAGATGGGCTTGATCTGTAGCCCAGGGAGCCTCAAACTACTGGTCCTCCTGCCCTGGCCCCTTTGAGTACATGCATGCCACCGTGCTGGGGTTGTTGTGTGGCTAATACAGTTCACATAGCGTGCATCCAGTGGTCTGGAATTCAGTTTAATTCTTAAAACATATAATGGGAGGTGGTGCATGAGTGCCATGGCGTGCGTGTAGAGGTCAGAGGACAACTTGGTGGAGTCAGTTCTGTCCTTCCGCCTTTAATTTTTATTGTTTTATTTTACTTTTGTTATTTTGTTCTCCCTGTAGCCTCAGCTGACCTGAAACTTGGTGTGTAGACCAGATTGGCCCTGACTTCATAAAGATCCACCCACCTCTGCCTCCAGAGTGCTGGGATTAAAGGCATGCAGCTACCACGCCTGGCTATTATTTTTATTTAATTTTATGTGTATGAGTGTTTTGCCTGCATGTATGTTACGTGTACGACGTTCATAGAGTGTCTATAAAAATCAGAAGAGGGCGTCAGATCCCCTGGAACTGCAGTTATGGACAGGTGTTTACTGCCATGTGGGTGCTGGGAACAGAACCCAGGTCCCTTGTAGGAGCAGAGCATCACTGAGCACCACCATCTCTCCAGCTTCCCGTCTACCTTTACATGGGTTCCAGAGATCGAACTCAAGTTCCCAGGCTTGCACAGCAAACACCTTCACCACCGAGTCATCCCACTGGCCCTGGAGCTCAGTGTGATCTCATAGTTGTTTTTAGTTCATTTGTTTCTTGTATTCTGTTTCTGTGGCAGAGTCTCCCAGTATAGCTCTCCCAGGCTACTTGGAATGCACCATGTAGCTCAGTCCTTGTGCTTCCACACCAGACTTCGTGGGTGTTAATATATGGCTCTGTCAAGCTTTGTTTCATACAGTTTCCATTCTGCTCTCTGGAATTCAGTTTTACTTTGTTTTTTAATATTTTTTTTGTTGGGGGTGGGAGAATCTAGGCCAGGCTAGCCTTGAACTCACTTAGTAGCTGAGAACGACTTGAATTCTTGAGCCTTTCCACCTCTCAAGTGTTTGTACTGCAGATGTGAACTACCCACCTGGTGTATGCGGTGCTGGTACTCTGTCCCAGGGCCTCATGCATGCTAGGCAAACACATTACTGACCTGAGCCTGCCTTCTGTCCCTTTGTTCTGTTTTGGTTTTGAGAGAGGGTCTCTTTACCTACCCCAGACTGGCCTTGAGCTCATGGCAATCCTGCCTCAGCCTCCCAGGATTACAGGCATGTGCTGCCATGTCCAGCTCTTTGTTTTGTTTTTAATTTTATGTATTTTGTAGTTTGTATGAGTGTTTTGCCTGTATTAAATGTGCCATGTGTGCAGTACCTCTGGAGGCCAGAAGGCATTGGGTCCCCTGGAACCAAAGTTAAAATCGGTTGTCAGCCACACACTGGGAACTGAACCCAGGTGCCCTGCTTTTAACCACTGAGCCGTCTCCACAGCCCCCAGCTCTTAGTTTTAGCAGTAATGCAGCAGACTTGAAGCCTGACTTGTGCTGTGTGAGCAGCTGGGCAGACATGAAGGGCCGTGTCAGATGCGTTTGTCAGTCTCCGACTCCTGCATGACACTTTACCCAGTTGTTGTGCCCCTCACAGTGCCAGTCTCACCTGCTGACTCCTGAAAGGAGTAGGAGTGGGGAATTGTGGGACGTGCCAAGAAGCCTGTTGTGACTGTCAGTGGCTGTCTGTGCCAGGTCACTGCCATTGTCATGGCTCACTGTCCCAGACAGCGTATACGCAGCGTTTACCTTCAGATCTGCCAGAGAGGGGCTGTTTGAACTTCTTCTCCTTCTCCCTCACCAGTGTCTTGAAGTCCTAAGACATGGGGGAGACCAACTTGCTGTCTGTGGCTATCACTGCACATCTGAGGCTGGGCACCACCAAAGCTCGCCTGCAGCCTTCCTCCTGGAAGTCCATCCCTCTCCTTCCATCTGGCAGGTGGCCATCAAGTACTGCTGAGTCCTTCCAGGCGCACTTGGAGCTTGAGAAAATCATTCTTAAAGTGCTTAAATATCAATTAAAATGTGTATGGTCCCAATATTTTGATTAATGAACCCAACAATTTTTTAAAGTAGGCTATTAAGTTTGACAGTAAGAGCCTTGCTCTGGGGTTTCCCCTCAAAAGCATTTCAAGTGCTGGACTTGTTGGTCAGGGGCAGCCCAGGTGAGGACGACCCAGGTGAGGCTACTGGCAGCAGGTGTCCCTGGGCTGGACAAGGACGTCTGATGACACCTGTTCTGGAAGGTTTTAGAGAGGGAGCCAATCTCCCATGCTTTTTCTTAGATAAATTTTCTGACTTCCTATAAATCTGCTGCTGGAGACTCCGCTTAGTTATGAAAGGACAAGCAGATGACTCAGCCCTGCTCTGCATCTTAGTGTGGCAGTGGGTTACCTTGTTCACATGTATTTGACAGGTATGACTGAAAAGAACATTGAAGCAACAGGCTTGGGTGGGTTATTCTGTTTTGTTTCGTTTGTTTTGTCTTTTTGAGACAGGGTCTCCCTGTAGCCCCAGCTGGCCTGGAACTCACTATGTAGACCAGGCTGGCCTCAATCTCACCGCCATCTGCCTGCCTCTGCCTTCCAGGTGCTGGGATTAATTTCTGTTTTCGATTATCTGTATTCATGTGTATCTGCGTACGTTTGTGCGTGAGTGCACTACTTGTTGAAGCCAGATGTTGGATCCCTTGGAGCTGGAGTTACAGGCCATTGGGAGGCACCTCGTGTGAGTTCTAGGAACCAAACTCTGGTCTTCTGGAGCAGCACACACATGCTCTTGACCACTGAGCCATCTCTTCAGCTTTATATATACATACATCTTTATTTTATGTGTGTAAGTGTGTGCCTGCGTGTGCATAAATGCACCTGTGTCATGCAGTGTTGGAGGAGGTTAGAAGAGGGCATCGGATCCTCAGGAACTGGAGTTACAGACAGTTGTTAGCCACCATGTGGTACTGGGATTCAAACCCAGTCCTCTGCAAGAGTAGCCAGTGCTCTTGACCACTGAGCCATCTCTCCATCCCCCACCTTAGATTTTGAGACAGAAGTTTTTACTGAGTCAAGAGCTTGCTGGTTGGCTAAATTAGCTGGCAGCAAACCCCAGGAATCTGCCTCCCTAGCACTGGAATTAGAAGTGCACACCACCATGCTTGGCTTTTATGCAGGTACCGGAGATCTGAACCAGAGCCTCAAGCTTTTACAGCAAGCATTTATCAACCGAGCCCCTTTGTTAATAAGTCTGACCAGCTCTTGATTCTCTCTCTTCCTGGAGGGCTGGGAAAGGCATAATAAGTGTCCCCCCTTCCTCCGTCACAGGATCGGCAGGTGGGAGTTTCTCAGAAATGCCTGAAGACTACGATGCCGTAGACTTAGTGGACTGAGAGTCCTTGTTTTCTGAAGGAAAATAAAATTAAAGGGAAACAGGTGTTCATTTTTAAGGGGAAATGGTTTATTATTAGGTTAACCTTTATAATACATATTTAAAAGCTTCCTTTGGGCTATGATGTGGTAGAGCACTCCCCTAGCAGGCTCAGAGCCCTGGTGTTCCTCCCCAGCACTGAGGATGACAGGAACAAGGCCTCCTTTCTATGAAAACTGAGGTTATAAGGAGTATAACCACAGAAGGAACCAAAGTAAGTGTTTCACAGGTTGTCCAGAATGTAGTCTCCATAGCTGTTGGTCTGATTCTGACAAGTCCCTGTACAGGGTGTTGGTGTTGTGTGCCGGCACATTGGCGAGTCCTTTGGCAGGTGTACCTTCATGGCCACTTGCTCCAGGTTGGCAGTGTGCATGGACCTTCTGTCCTGCGCTGAGGGTATGTCAGCACTCAAGGATCATAAATGCTACAAAATGATCTTCACTCATTCAGTATACGCCATTTTCTTTTGGTCTATTGAAAGGTAGTTAATAGTTAAGGTTCTGTAATTTAAATGGTATCTCTTGGTGGGGCCGGCTCCTTCGTTCCACCTAGAGATTAACATAGTCCTTATGCTTTCTGGGGTCCACTCAAGAGTTGCTCTCATGATTTTTTTAAAGTGGTTTTGCCTTGTCCAGAGAGGCAAGTGAAGATTAAGAAGTATTAATCCTCTGACTCCCTTTTAATTCAGGTGTTTAAGGATAATTGCTGCAAGAGAGAGATTCTGGCCCTTCAGATCTACTGTCGGAATGAAAGCAGAGGTTGTGCAGAGCAGCTGGCGCTGGGACATCTGCTGGTAAGTACCCGGGTGGCACTGGAGGCTTCTGTGTTCGGGAGTGTGGGTGCCTCCCCTCATCCAGCTCCCTCATCCAGCTGTGTGCCTGGTCAGGGTTGTGTGGTGCTGTGTTTGCTGTATTCTTTCAAATAAACCACGGAGGAAAGTGGGCCAAGCCCTGGGACGTACAAGGTCACTCTTCATGACCTCAGTGAGTTGTCCTCCCCACCCTACTTAGAATAGAGAAATCTGAGTCAGATTTTAATTTTGAAGGACACATTAGAACTTGTTTTTCACAATGAAATTCCATCTAACTCTCTCTACATAAATTTTTTAATTATATTGGATTTTATTCTGGGAAGAGGTTTGAATTAGAATAAAACAAAGGGTTCAGAGGGGTTTTGTGGGTTTTTGGTGGGGAGTTTACATAGGGTCTCACTATAGGCCGTGTGTGTGTGTGTGTGTGTGTGTGTGTGTGTGAGACAGGCTTGCTGTATAGTCCAGACTGGCCTTGAACTCAGGCACTCTCCTGCCTTGGCCAAAACGGAGTTCTTTTTTTTTTTGTCTTTTTGAGACAGGGTCTCCCTGTAGCTCCAGCTGTCCTGGAACTCATTATGTAGACCAGGCTGGCCTCGAACTCACAAAGATCCGCCTGCCTCTCTGCCTCCCAAGTGCTGGGATTAAAGGCGTGCGCCACGGCAAAACAGAGTTCTTAACAGAACCTACCCCTGTCCTGTTAGCCGGGAAGACAAGAAGACAGTCCCTTGTTCACAGCGTGGGCTAACAGTGCAGCGTGAGCCTTGGTGTCTCTTGGGGTGTTTGCACGGCACTGTCCAGTGTCTGGGGGCGCGGCCTTCTGCAGAACTGCACTGTCTACCTGTGTGGACGTTACATCCTGTCATTTCACACTGTGATTTTGCCAGTTAAGAGCTTTGGTTTGTTCTACAGGTGCACCTAAAAAATGAGTGCCAGTTTGAGGAACTTCCCTGTGTGCGTGCTGACTGCAAAGAAAAAGTATTGAGAAAAGACTTGCGGGATCACGTGGAAAAGGCCTGTAAATACCGTGAGGCCACATGTAATCACTGCAAGAGCCAAGTTCCCATGATCACCTTGCAGGTGCGCTGTTGTCTATTCATCTCCATTCACGCAGCTCTGTGTACTTCCTCTGCAAAGCGGGTTTTAAATGATGGTGCTAACAGGAGTAAAGAGAAAGAGAGAGGGCTAAATAGCAATTTTCATCTAACTATTTCAGAGCAATGTTGTATCTGTTTTGCCCACTTTGATTTATATGATTAACATTTCCCATTGCCTTGATTCCCTATCATTTTTGATGTCAAAAAAATGAAGAATGATTATTCAAAAAAGGTAGAATTTATAACTTGTCCCAGAGAATAGTCTCCAAATGTTGATAGAGTGCTTGTCTTCCACAGCTGTGTGACACAGCCAGCACCCACAGCAGGCCCGTTTACCCACAGTGTTGAAGTGCAACTGTCTGTCTTGGGGAAAGATAAGATGAGGCTTTCAGTGCTCTCCTGCTGCACTTGTCTTGGCACGGTTCTGTGTGTTGGAATCATTTCTGTGAAGATGAATGGAGAGAGGTTGAGGGTAGAGGACCAGCCTTATAAACAGCCATTCACTAAATAAACCCTTGCTGTCTACCTACTGTGTGCAATCCTCTTCCAAGAGTGGAGCTTCTCTGAGAAGCTCACTTTCTGTGGGAGAGATACTACAAATAATGGCTCGGGTGCTCTTAAGAGCTGTGAAGAAAAGCACTGAGCATCAAGGGAAAGGGGTCATCAGCCCTGGATTGGGGTGACTTTCATAGAAGGGGGCCCAGAGGGGAGCATTAGACTCTGAGGAGGCCAGTGGGTATTAGGGATCATTCGGATGCAGGCAGGCATGGTAGCAGCGGGCAACCAGAGGATGAGGAAATGCTCTGGGAGGCCTTGAGCTCGGGAAGCATCGTGGGCAAAAGGGAGCAGGGAAGTGGTACTGGGCACATCTCAGGTGGGTAGCGCTTTCTTGCGTGGCTGGTAGCTCAAACGTTTGTGAATTATGGATGATGCCAGTGCTGTGACAGGAGCATCTGCAGGAACTGGGGTGTCCTGCCAAGATGGAGTTTGCAGGGGGCATAACAAGCTATAGGGTGGATTGGGGAGGGGAACAGTCTGGGCCATAGTCATGTTTGAATTAGTACTTGTAGCCCAGAGACTGGAGCAAGAGGACAGGAGGACAAGTTCACAGAGGCCAGGACATGGGCTGCTTACATGTTGCTAAGAGGGAGCCTCAGAAAGGATCAAGGACCCAGCGGCCTGGCGGGTTCCTGAGACTGGGTTATCAGAAGGGAAGGACTGTAGGAGTGCAGCAGGGCCACTGCTGAGTTTCTGGTGTCTGTCCTCAAACAAGTCAGGACCACCATGTAGGGAGTCTCCTACCCTGGAAAGTGAGGTGTACTCCCGTCTCCCCTCCCCTCCTCTCACCAGTCCAAACCTGGGCCTCTTCCTCTGAAGTCTTTTCTGCTGGGACACTGTGGGCATCCCCAGTTACTTGTGACTTTGAAGGGCTGTGCCAGGCCTGGGAACGCATACCTGTGAGAGAGGCCTGAGGGTCATGGGTTCAAGGCTGTGCTCTTTTCTACATAACCAATGATGTGAAAGCAAAACTCTCATATCAAAGGAGATGAGAGATAGTTTAGTCTGGAGCCAGGTGTGAGTCATCATAGCCTGGGAACACAGATTCAGGTCACCCCAAATTCCGTGTTTCAATGTGGTAACAGTTTCATGAAGTTTTAGTAGTAACAGAGCAAAGAAAGCCATGAATCAAGACACTTCAGATACGTTGGTAGACACTCCGAATCAAGTCACAGTAGAGCAGGGAGAGCTTTGCTGTAGGCCTCGAGTTGGTGGAAGCTACTAGTCTGCCAAATCAGTATATCCCAAAGGTTCCTGTTAGTCACAGTGCGTCAAGTCTGACAGGTGGTTCAAGATAAACTGTAAATAGACTTGGGACCTAGAACATTCCAAACTTCACAGTCTTTGAAGTGCTAATCAGCCTGCAGAAGATTCGGTTGAAGATGCAGGGTTTTTTCACATTGTCTTCTTATAAACTAGTACATAATGAATTTTTTTTTTGTCTTTTTTTGAGACAGGGTCTCCCTGTAGCCCCAGCTGTCCTGGAACTCACTATGTAGACCAGGCTGGCCTTGAACTCACAGAGATCTGTCTGCCTCTGCCTCCCGAGTACTGGGATTAAAGGCGGGTGCCACCACGCCTGGCTTTGAATTGATTTTTTAAAAAATTGGGTACATTATTTGACTTTAACTACTGTAACAAAATATGAAGCTGGTGACTTAAAACAGCAGAAGTTTATTCTTTGAAGTCTAGAAATGAGAAGCCAAGGAGTTGGCAGGGCCAGGTTCCTGTCTCCAGCTCTAAAGGAGAGCCTTCTCCATCTTCCTAGCCTCCACTGGTTGCCACCAACCCTTGGCTAGTAGCTGCACCACCCAACTCTGCCTCCACATTTAACTGGCTGCCCCTAAGTCCTTGACTCTCTAAAGATGACAGTCATAAAACAGGCCTCGTCCTAACAAGCAACAACTGCAAAGAACCAGTTTCAGTAAGGCCCCATTCACAGGTTCTGAATGGACATGGACAGTATTGTGGGAGGACCCTTTTGAGCTCGCTGCAGTGGATAGAGGCCCTGAAAAGGCAATTCAAGGAAAAGAAACAGCCATCAGTAAAGATGAAATACGCGCTTACCAGCATTACTAAGAACTGCAGGTCCGACTGCAGGTATCTTCTCCTGTTAGATTGTCAGACTGAAAAGCCTGATAGAACTGGTAAGGTGTAGGATTTGCATTCTCATGTCATAGGATCTCAGTTGGTATCAGGTGACTGGAGGGCAATTTATCATCTAGCTTAAAGCCTCTGAACCCTTTGACACCTACAGCACCTCCCTCCAGGTGTCCTCACTCTCTGTCTTTCTGAGTCCGTACTCTGCTCTACAGACGTGGCTCTTGATAGGGTGGTCTGATCACTCCCAGCTGGTCAGTGTCAGAGAAGTGAGGCTGTGTGCCAGGGTTTACCCTCTGAAGCAACAGGAAGCCTTCACCTTATGGTGCCTAAGAATTCTAGATCCATGCACACCCCACTTGCTGGGGTCTGTGAAGGAGGACTGTGGTCAGGCTCTACCTTGTCCAGCCTTGCTAGTCAGTGTGGAATGGTAGTAGACTTGCCCACCAGGGGCTCTGTGGGATTCTGAGATCTGAGCTTCGCAGCAGAATAGCCGCATGTTGTAGGTGTTCCCCCTGCTCTACAGACACAGTGTGCACACCCAGAGGACTCAGGCTTTCAGAATTCACCAAGTAAGGCTGAACCTGGTAACCCCCTCAGGTGAGTGCCCTGCCCTAAGTGTACTTCCCTTGCATGGGCCACTGTCCCTGGCCCTTGTATGACCTAGTTAGACTGAGGCTGGAGCAAGCACTGTCCTCCATTCGTCCATCTAAAGACAAACATCACTGGAGGCCAAAGGAGCCAGAAAACCTGCCAGCACCTGGAAGTGTCTGCGGAGAACTGCCAGGAAAACTGCTCAGCAGTGGTTGCTGTGCTGTTTCTTCCATCTCTGCCTCTGTCTTTGCTGTGGGCTGGCGGCATGTTCTAGGGTCCTTGGCAGAGTCCTTGCCTTTGCTTTGTTTATAGAACATACCCAGAGCACGCCTGTGACCAGGTGTCCAGCAAGTTCTCTTAGCATTAAGTTTAGAGTCCCCGTCCATCCTCTACAGAGCTGAAAGTCATACCATTTTTAAAACATTCAAGAAGTTGTCCTCTCCAGACTCCAAACTGAAAGAGTAGTGGAAAATCTGAGGATGGGCTTATGCCCAACCAGGTGGTATCCACAGGGTCTTGTGACCTGGGAGTTGCATGGGGCAAGTATGCTGCTGGGGAGAGAAGCTGGCATTATGGTGCCGCAGTGTTCTCTGTCAGCCCCCACTAAGTCAGAGCTGATGTGAGGTCTCCAGCCTAGGCTCTCACACATGAATATAAGGTGCTGACGGTGAGCAAAGCCTTCTTTGGGTCTACATGGGGATGTCAGTGGGCTTCAAGAACAGACTGTGCTCTGGAATTGATGTGCTTCCTTTTCTTTGTAGAAACATGAAGACACTGATTGCCCCTGTGTGGTGGTATCCTGCCCTCATAAGTGCAGTGTCCAGACTCTTTTGAGGAGTGAGGTAAGGCACAACCAGGGCTCAGTCAGGAGCTCGTGACATCTGCAGGCCCAGTGTGCTGTAGATGCCACTTTTCCGTGGCTCACGGGCACCTGGTGTTCTCTTGATTGACATATGACAGTATGTGTACCAGGAAAACAAAACTGTAGTAACTTTTTGGAAGTCAGAAGCAGTAAAAAGCTACAAAAAGGTGAAGTCACGGTTAAAGGCACTGTTAAGAATTGAGAAAATGTGACTACTTCTGTCTATAGTGCAAGTAAAGGTGAGACTTCATGTCCTTAAAAGTGCTGTTTTTAAATCTAAAATAGTGAATTACTGTAAGATTGTATAAGAAAAGTGAATTTATGGACTGGAGAGATGGCTCAGCAGTTAAGAGCACTGACTGTTCTTGCAGAGGACCCAGGTTTGAGTCCCAGCACCCATATAGCAGCTAACAGCCATCCGTAACTCCAGTTCTAGGGGATCCAGCGCCCTCTTCTGACTTCTGTGGCCTTGTATGACATGGGTGCACTTACACATATGTAGACAGTAAATTCATACACATAAAATATTTTAAGAAGAAAGAAAGGTTAATTTAGACCTTGTAACACCATTTTGACCACCTCATGGGCAGGGGCAATCCTGAGTGAGAAGTAAGGCACCCACGTTTTAGGGGTTTGGTTTGGTTTGGTTTTGGTTTTTTTGAGACAGGGTCTCCCTGTAGCCCCAGCTATCCTGGAACTCACTATGTAGACCAGGCTGGCCTTGAACTCAGAGATATCCACCTGCCTCTGCCTCCCCAGTGCTGGGGTTAAAGGTGTGCGCCACCACACCCGGCACATTTTAGGGCCTTTTTAAGAGCACATGTGGAGAGTTTAGGGGCTGCACATCGTACCTTGCCCAGGTACTTCTGTGAGACAGGTACATTGTACCATTAACTTTACTGGATCAGGATATATCTAGACAGAAAATTCCAGGCATTTGTAACACTTTGGCATGTGACCCTGACCTGGACCCTCTGTGGTTGCTGAGTGGCTGAGGCTTTGAGCTAGGGAACCTGCTCACATCAGCCTTCTTCAGCAATGTGGTATCTTCCTGGGTGGTAAGAAGAAGGTAGCCTGGGATATCCCTATGGAGCAGAGGGGCCAGTGTGGGCCTAGTGCTAGGGGCACAAAGAGCAGGGAGCACCCCAAGAATTCACCAACCTCCCAGCATAGTATTGGTTAAGGGTGGTAACAGGCCTCTGGGCCGCAAATGTGCTTCGGGGAGGACCTGGGGAAAGTACATGTAAATTGTTTTCTTGACTGAACACTGGAGGGTCCTTGTGTTAAAGTTAATGTGTAAAGAGTATGAACTGTTAAAATAATGCCCAGCATTTTTATGACACTGTCTTAAATTTCTGTTCACTCAGAGCTCTGAGTTGATTTAAACAAACAAACAAAAAAAGAATGTTTAAACTTAAATTTTTGGTTTCTAGTGGAAGGAACCATTGGGCTGTGCATTATCCTCTTTTCTATTCTGAAGGCTTATAAATTCTATAGGCTGAGAGCGCTGATAGTCAAACCAAGTTAGGAAAAGCAGGATGCTGTGTTTAAGCTGTATGCTAGAAATAACATGTCAGAACAGTGTGCCCCTGATTTTATCAGTAAAAATGTTAGCTGATTGGGGCTTGAGAGATGGCTCAGTGGTTAAGAACACTGACTGTTCTTGCAGAAGACCCAGATTCGAATCCCAGCACCCACATGGCAGCTAACAACTGTCTGTAACTCCAGTTCCAGGGGATCTGACAGCCTCTTCTGTCCTCTGCGGGACACGGGTGCACTTACCTACATGCAGGCAATACACGCATTACACATAAAAATAATAAATAAATAAAATTTCACTTAAAAAAAAGTGTCAGCTGATCAAGTCTGCAGCCGTAACAATAGCTCTGGAAGAATGTGTCTTAAGATGACAAATTGACTTTGTGGGGAGCAGTCTTCGTGTGCAGGTCCGTGCTGACATCCTGCCTATGGAACCTTTGAGGTGCTCCCTCTGAGTTCAGCCCAGGGCTTCTTGGCTGGGGTCACAGAAACTGAAGGCACATTAGGCTGCTGATCTTGGTGACTCTGCCCAGCTCATAGACTGTTCTGGAAGACTGGCTGTGGTAGGGCCTCAAGGCCCTTTTCCAGGTGCACCTTTCTCCTGAGCTATTGTAGCAGGGCCAGTGAACAGAGGTAAATGGACCCACATTCGTCCCTGAGCCCTAAATACTAAGTGTAAGGAAGTGACTACCTTGGTCCTGTGAGACCAAGAAGTCCTGATCATACCTGCACCCACAGACAATGCAGAATGTGAGCTGTAAGGACAAGGCGGCTGGCACACAGGACACATGTTCCAGCCCTGCAGGTACAGGAGCCCTGAGCATAAGTCTGTCTTTAAAACAGAGCCTTGCAGTCCTTTTTCTTTCTGGGACGCCCTGATAGGCTTATCTGTTCTCACACTGGAGCAGAACAAGAGGCTTTTTCCTTCAGTATAGCATAGATGGTCCCAGTGGCTCCTAGTTCTCCACCCATCAGAGAAGAGAGCAAAAGATTCCTGTTGTTAGGATGGCTGTAGAGCTCTTTGTGAAACTTGTGAGTTTCTGACCATACCAAGGGTAAAGGCTTTCCAGATGAAGGAAGAACTCCTCTCCAATCCTGAGTGTTGCAAGTACTGGTTCAATGCACAAGCTTGCTTTGAGAATAGATTTATTTTTGTGTGTTGTATATTAGGTGTGTAACCCAATTGCATCCCGAATGCTTTCTGATTTTTTTGTGTTTCGTACAATTTTTGTTATTAGTCTTTAAATGTACATTTCAGTTTATGTTTTTTTTTTCTTTTTAATTCTGGCATGTCACTTTTTGAACAATCTGTTCTAAGGAAATTGCAAGTTTAAGAAATGTTAAAGTAAATGTATTTTTGTATATTGGTGTGTATATGTGTATACCCGTGATGAAACTGTAGATTTATTGCCTGAAGTCTAGGCATCAGGCGATGTGGAGCACAGCTGCAGATGATAAACGCCCTTCTTAACAGTACAGCCAGATGCTTTCTGTGCCCTGATGTGTTTGAACATTTTCATGCAAACATTTGTGCCACAACTCACGTCTCTTTCCCGTTGCAGTTGAGTGCACACTTGTCAGAGTGTGTCAATGCCCCCAGCACCTGTAGTTTTAAGCGCTATGGCTGCGTTTTTCAGGTCAGTATCCAACATCCGTCCTTCCCAGTCACTCACATTCTGCCATTGAAGAAAGTGCTCATAATAATATTTTAACTTGTAAGTTTTCACTCTTTTAGTCTTTGTCGTGAAACCGAAACACCCTGTTGCATGGGTAAAGACAGCCACATGCAGCAGGTGTGGAGTTCGCTTGCCAGGCCGGGGTTGTTTGAGACGCAGGTGGACACTGCCATGGGAAAATCAGTATGCTAGGAGAGCAACGGCACCCCTGGCGGCTGGGAAGGCTAGAGACAGTAGGCGCTGTGGGCTCTGTGGACATTCGAGCGATTACTGGAGTGTCAGAGAATACTAACTAGATGTAGCTTTGATATCATGTGTCAGTCTATAGCTAAAAGAGTCACATACATGAGTGTCCATAAATGTATTCTGTTTACACATGTGTGCTGATTCTGACATCTGCCAGGGTTGTATTTTGAACTGAGCAAAACCCGTAGCAAACCCACCTCTGGAGCAGTGTAAGTGTCAGAGCCTGCTGCAGGTTTCTGATGTTCCTTTTTTTTTTTTTCTTTTTTTTTCTTTTTTTTAAACATGTCTGAAATTGCTAGCGAATGAAGATTGAGCTTTTATTCAAATATATATACCTTAATCTTAAAACTTCCAGAAGGCCAAATATATTATAATAGAAGTGTTGTGTAGTTAGTTTTCTGTATCAAGGGGACATTGATGCAGTCAGCACAGAGACAGTGAGCTGCACTTTCTGAGAGGCTGACAGTAAGGATGCAGCTCCCCCGTGCTTTGGCCTCGCAGGAGCCTGAGCCTTCCTGTTTGTTGTACGTAGTGCCATTCATCTTGTGTATGTGTATATGTATGCTGACAGAGCAGAATGCACGTCAGCATATATATATGGATATTCTATGTACAGAGTATATGTTTTGGAGATCATGAAAATGCTTTATCTGACTTCTTAATTTTCTGGTATCAAAACAAATTATATTTGTCATACTAACTGTTGCCTTAAACATGTGAAGTACTATTTAATGTGCTTATTCTTGGCTTAGATGGTCTACATCTTATGTACTCTGTAGATTGTTTATGTTGTATGTAAATTTCTCTGCATACTCAGCCTGGTGAGGGGCAGTAGTACCTTTTCGGATGCAGGGCTATGCTGTATTCACTGGGCTGCTCCAGCAGCATCTAGCCATCCCTCTGGATTCTGGATTCTGGATTCTGGATTCTGGAACATTTCCCAGTTACATCTTTTTTGGGGTTTGGGTTTTTTTTTTTTTTAATTTGTTTGTTTTTGTTTTTTGTTTTTGAGACAGAGTCTCACTGTGTTTCCCTGGCTGGCTTAGAACTCCTATGTAGACCAGTTCGGCCCCACTTGTCTCTGCCTCCCAAGTGCTGGGATTATGGCTGTGCACCACTCAGCCTTCCATGTATATCTTGATGAAAAATAATTTTAAAAGGAGCAGGAAGAGTTTCACATTTGATTCCTTGGTTTTGCGAGTATGGAATGTTATGAGAAGCTACGGGAGAAGAACTTGAGGAAGGGGAGCGTGAGTTTGTGGTTAGCTCTGCAGCATCACAGTGGCTGTTCTTGGCCTGCTGTTCTGCACTGTCCCCTCACCTGCACATGGTAGCCTAGGAGGCTCTGGGCAGGAGGCCCTGGAATTCCTTCTGCGTGAATGAGCCCTTTTGTGTAGTGCTGCTTCTAGAGTTGTGTTAGTCTTTCTGTTCTTTGAGAGGGACTGATTGATTTCATGCCACCCACTTTTGCTCTTGCAGGGGACAAACCAGCAGATCAAGGCCCATGAGGCCAGCTCCGCGGTGCAGCACGTCAACTTGCTGAAGGAGTGGAGCAACTCCCTGGAAAAGAAGGTAGGCACAGGCCTCCTCGCTTTCTTGGGGTCTTCTAATTTCTTCAAATTATTTAAAAAGGGAACCTGTTTTATAGTTGTTAACGACTTTTGGATAAAGACCCAGGATGAAGAGATTGTCAGTGGAGTCCATCGCCTCCCTGGCAGCTTAAGCTTGTAAGTGGAAGTATTTGCTCCTCACTAAACTGTCCAGAAGTAGATGGTGTGCTCTCTTTCTGTTTTCTTTTCCCTTTTAAAAATCACACTGTGGGGGCTGAAGAGACGGCTCAGCAGTTAGAAGCACTGGATGCTCTTGCAGAGGACACAGATTCAGTTCCCCACACCCACATGACAGCTAATAATTGCCCTTAACTCCAGTTCCTTGGGATCCAAGTACCATCTTCTGACCTCTGTGGGCATTTCACAACATGGGTGCACTTAACATACATGCAGACAAAATACTCATAGATACAAAATAAAAAATAAATTTTAAAAATAATATTATGGTTATCTTAGCATTGATCTAGGACAGGATTGTCTGACTTCCAAACTCTCTTCCTTACCCCGATTGTTGTGTAAAAGGCAGCCACCTGGCACAGGTGAATTGCCTGTGGCTGAACAGTAGACTGGAGCATCAGTACCAGTGTATGGACCACTCAGGTTCTCTCTGTGCAGCTGCACTGGCTGCATAGACAGCACTACTGCCTGCAGCCTCCTTCTTCCATTGGGGGCTGCAGGTCTGGGGCAGGGTCCTCCCTGGTAGAATGCACCTTCCTGATGCCGTTTGCCTCTGTAGCAGGGCTGTGCTTCCAAAGGAAAAGATGAAACACTCCAAGAATTGGTGAAGTGGTAGAGGAGAAATGGTTACAGGCTCACATCCCCGTGGCTCATTTATAAAACAGCACAAGGTTCACCATGCATCCTTTGGAAACTTGTAGCAGAAGGGTCCGAGGTGAATTTAAGCCCCTGGTACCATCAACATTGGATCTGAACGTCTCCTGTTGAGTGCTCAATGCAGATATGCTTGGAAGAGCCTAAAATGACAAAGGAGAGGATTCCCAAGACAGCTGGCTGTGTGCTGTGCTGGTGTGGCTGGAAGGCGGGGCCAAGAAGCAGGAGCAGCTCGGCAGAGATGACGCACTGGGGTCAGTGGTGACTGTCCCACAGGCAGAGCATTGCTTCTGAGCTCCTTTCCAGGAGCCTTTTCTCCTTCTTTTGAAGACTGTTCTGTTCTGACAGTTTAAGTTAGAGGCATAACCTCAGAATGTCTTGTGTTTCGCTTCCTTTCATTTTAAGGACCTAGTTTTAATGGGATGTGGTGGCACATGCCTGTAATCCCAACCCTTAGGAAGTGAAGAGAGGAGGGTCAGTTCAAGATCATCGTGAGCTATATAGCAAGTTCAGGGCCAGTCTGGACTACTTGAGACACTGTTTTTTGTTTTTTTGTTTGGTTTGGTTTGGTTTGGTTTGGGGTTTTTTTTTTTTTTTTGGTCTTTTTTGAGACAGGGTCTCCCTGTAGCCCTAGCTGTCCTGGAACTCGCTATGTAGACCAGGCTGGCCTTGAACTCACAGAGATCCGCCTGCCTCTGCCTCCCGAGTGCTGGGACTACAGGCGTGCACCACCACACCCAGCTCAGTGTTGCTTTCTTTAGAAAATATCATGAGCCAGGTATGGTGGTACATACCATTAATCTCAGCATTCAGGAGGCAGAGGCAGACGGATCTCTGTGAGTTCAAGGCCAGCCTGGTCTACATAATTCCAGGCCAGCTGGGGCTACAGGGAGACCCTGTCTCAAAAAGACCAAATAATAATAATAATAATAAAATAATAATAACAACATGATTACATTGGAGAACTTTGTGTAGGTTGGAGGATTTGGAAAAGGGGTGAATGGCAAACTCATTACAACAGCAGTAACAAATTTCATGTTAGTGTTGACAGTTGATAGTACAGTTTTGTCTGTAAATAATATTAAAAATTATAGTAGATGTCGGTTGTGGTGGTGCATGCCTTTAATCCCAGCACTCAGGAGGTAGAGATCTATGAATTTAAGGCCGGGGCTACAGGGAGACCTGTCTTTAAAAGACCAAAAAAAAAAAAATTATTATAATTTAGACATACAGAATTGGAAGTTTACATCCTAAAATACAATTCCATATTTTTAGTTTGAGAAGTATATCAGTTTAGTTATTACAATAGTTTCTATTATTTTTAGCATCCAAAACTGATTTTTATCTCTAGAAGTTCAATTGGGTGTTCTACATTCTCCGTAGGGCACAGGTGAAGGGCTGTAGAAGGGCAGCAGGAAATAGTGGGAATCTCTTTCTTGGTGCCTGGGAATGGGAGCCGTCCATCATCAAGGTCTGGATACCCAGGACCTCGTGTAAATCAAGACCATAGCTGGCCCTCCAAGGAGCTGGGAAGTCCATTTTAGAGAATTTAGTCTTCCTAAGACCAGAATCTGCAAATGACAAAGACCGCCCTATCCCCAACATAAGCCCAACACAAGACAAAGCCACTGCCATGTTCAACTTGGTACCCCAGGGGAGGGGGCTGTGGGGAATGCAGCCGCTCAGAGAAGGCTGAAGCTGCTGCTCAGCACCAAGAAGTCCTTCATTCTCCCCTCTGCTCCACCATCAGCAGAGGAATGGAACTGTGGCTGGTGGTAGGGGACCAAAGCTCCAGGTTCAGGGGAGGGGACCACAGAGCAGGCTCACAGGTAGGGGCCACCACTCCAGATCCCAATATGGGATCACAGTTCCAGCTCAGGGGAGGGAACCACAGCCCCACCTCACAGGACGGCCTACAAGTCCAACTCATGGTGGGGGACCACAGCTCCAGGTTCACAAGAGGGGACCATAGTTCTAAGCTCATGAAAAAAGTCACAGTTTCAATTATGCTGGTTCCTACTGTTTTCCTGTCTCTGTTACTCTGTCCACATGATTGTACTTGTATTTAAGACAGAGCATTTTGGCTTCTGTGCAGCAAATGGAGGCAGCAGTTTCTTGCTGGTTTGAATTTCTCACTAGAGGGACATCGGTATTGGAGAAAATCACCTTCTACTGCTGCTCAAGGAGACAGACGGAGCGTGTGTTTTTGTCTGTTCATGGTCAGGGTTCCAGCTGGATTTTTAAAGAATATTTTATTTATCATTTTTATTTTTGTGTGTGCGTATGAATGTATTGCCTGCATGCATGCAAGTGCACTCCTGTCGTGCAGTGCCACGGATGTCAGAAGAGGGCATCGGATTCCCCTGGAACTAGAGTTACGGACAGTTAGCGGTCATGTGGGTGCTGGGAGTCGAACCTGGGTCCTCTGCAAGAGCAGCCAGTGCTCTTGACCACCGAGCCGCTGCTCCAGCCCCCCTGTTGGCTTTTTTGGTATCTGTGGCCTTCACTTCTTCCTTGGCCAGAGGGAGCCAGTGATGGGACATCTTTCTGGAGTGGCATTTTGCTGAGAGCCACTCCTGCTGCCGTCTTGACTTCCCACCTACTTTTCTACTTGCCAAGTCCTTTCTCTCCTGCACCCCACCCGTCGTTCTCCTTGGGATTGGTTACCCGGCTGATGGTGGCCAACTGACCATGGGTACGCAGCACAGTGGCCACCGTAGGTGAGGTGGGGTGCTCAGAGCCACCTCCTGGATGCACCACCACTCAGCTCCTGTGCCCCAGGCTCCCAGTGCTACAGTCACGGGGACCAAGAATCAGGTTTTTTATTCGCTATACTATAGCTGTGATGTAGGTTTAGTGGCTCTGGGGTGTGTGATCACCTAGTAGGACGACCCAAGAAGTACTGGGGCAAAGGGCATTCTCAAGGCTGTGGAAGGAGGGCTTTTGAGGGAATCCCTGTTTTCAGTGACAGGACAGGGTATGCTGTACCTGTGGAAACACACCTGCCTGTTAGAGTCAGTGATTATCTGAGAGGTGGATGAAGGCAGCCTCATGCAGCTGCTCCAGGACTGAACCCTTTAACATACATAAATGTGAATTAATAGTTCAAATAAGGCAAACCATAAATGAAAGAAATGAAGTTTAATTGGTTATACGTGTGCATTGCTATAATCTGCTTCTATTCTTATCAAATACTTGATTTGTTGCAGAAGTGTCATTGAGATTCTTATCAAAGGTTGGCATAAATGAGGGACTGGAGAAATAGCTCCGCAGTTCAGTGCTCTTACAGAGGACCCGGCGGGTTCAGTTCCCAGCACCTACGACAGCTCACAACCATCCATAACTCCTCCTGGCCTCTGTGGGCATTGCACACATGGGCGCACTTACATACATACAGGCAAAATATTCATACACATAAAATTTAAAAAATAATAAGTTGGGAGTGGTGGCACACACCCTTTAATCCCAGCACTCAGGAGGCAGAGGCAGGCAAATCTCTGTGAGTTCAAGGCCAGCCTGGTCTGCATAGCAAGTTCTAGGTCAGTTGGGGCTACAGGGAGACCCTGTCTCAAAAAAAAGAAACAAAAAAATAAATAAATAGCTGTGGTGGTGCACACGTTTAGAAAAAGCTGGCATAATGATGTTAATCCTGGGGGTGGGGGGTGTAATATGAGACCAGTGTTTGGGAATTCAGTCCATCTTTGCCGAGTGCTGTTTGTTTTCAAATAGGATAAAGAGTGTTGTCTGCAAAGGCACTTCTCGCCTAAAAGGACTCCATCTCCAGGCCACTTGTCAAACAGTGTAGGAAATCAGTCGTAACCCCATTTTGATGCCTGCTGGCTGGGCTGGTCCCTCAGTGACACTGCAGGGGCCAATCTGAAGTGAGCCGTGGGATTTAGCTCCTCTTGTGAGGATGGACCCTGTGAGAACTGCCCTCAGGCTCACTCTTCATCTCAGAGGCTTTAAAGCCAGGTATAAATTGGTCCTGGGGGCAGGGTTATTTTCCAGAAAGAAAGGGTCAAAGGCAGTTGGAAGGGCCTGCCCTGCAAGCCCCTTCCTTTGACTGGCACGGGTCCAGGTGGCCTAGGTGAGCGTCTGCACCAGGGTCTCCTCACTTGTCAGCTTCACCTCTGAGAGGTTAATGGGCCGACCCAGGGCTACCTGTGGAGCTCCAGACCCTCCACTCCTTGTGTTGGGGCTGTCACTCTACAGGGTGGGGTCCTGCAGGAGTGAGAACCCATTCAGCAGGCTGTGACTGGTTTCTTTTTAACTGACAAATAGTTGATTGTATAACTTTATGGATTAGTATGTATTTTGACATGTGTGCATTATGAGATGGTTAAGCTAATTGGGCTGGGCGTGGTGGCGCACGCCTTTAATTCCAGCACTTGGGAGGCAGAGGCAGGTGGATCTTTGTGAGTTCGAGGCCAGCCTGGTCTACATAGTGAATTCCAGGACAGCTGGGGCTATAGGGAGACCCTGTCTCAAAAAGACAAAAAAAATAAAAATAAAAATAAGTTAATTAATTGGTTCATGGGGAGAGATGGCTGCTCAGACAGAAAATTTGGGTTCAATTCCCACCACCCACAGGGCAGCTCACAACTACCTGTACCTCCCAGTTCCAGAGGATCCAACACCCCTTCTGACCTCCTTGGGCACTGAACACATGTAGTGCACTTAGATGCATATTTGCAGGCAAAGCACTCATACACATAAAATATTTTTAAAAACCAAGCTAGTTGTAGCCCCAGCTGTCCTGGAACTCACTATGTAGACCAGGCTGGCCTTGAACTCCCAGAGATCCACCTGCCTCTGCCTCCCAAGTGCTGGGATTAAAGGCTGCGCCACCACACCTGGCTGATTACATTGTTATTAACAGCAGTCTCCAAGTTGTACAGGAGATCTTACAAACAGTCCTGTAAGTGGCACTTTGGCAAGTGTCTCCCAACTCTGCTCCTCCTGGCTGCTTCCTTTTGCCTCAGGCTTTTGGGTTCCACTGGTGAGATCAGGCAGTGCGTGTCTTTCCGTGTCTAGCCTGTTTCCACTGGTGAGATCAGGCAGTGCGTGTCTTTCCGTGTCTAGCCTGTTTCAGTTGGCATAATGCCTGCCAAGGACTAGCATTTTTTACGTCAAATAGAATAAAATGGAAAACATGAAGGAGCCCTGCAGTAGTAGCACATGTGGGACTTGGAGAAGCCCTTTCTTAGATAAACACACACCACACAAGCAGGATAAAGTAGAAAACTACACTGGTAAAAGATTTGTTCTCAGTGAGCATCTTAAAAATCACCCCCTCATGGTGGCGCACACCTGTAGTCCCAGCACTCTGGGGGCAGAGGCAGGCGGATTCTCTGTGAGTTCGAGGCCAGCCTGGTCTACATAGTGAGTTCCAGGACAGCTGGGGCTACAGGGAGACCCTGTCTCAAAAAGACAAAAAAAGAAAAATTTCCCTCCTTCAGTGAGCCTTGGCCCCGTACCTCCCTTTAGCTACAGGGTGACAGAGCAGCTTTATAGACCCCCCACTGGCGCAGTAGAACCCCCTTTTCTGTGTGAGAGGATTTCTCTCCTAAGGAGCTGTGAAAGTTTAATTACTATCATTATGGTTAATTAATAGCAAACCACTTTTTGTTAAGTTAATTGAAGCGTTTCTTTTCAGGTTTCCTTGCTGCAGAATGAAAGTGTTGAAAAAAACAAGAGCATACAGAGTCTGCACAATCAGATCTGCAGCTTCGAGATCGAGATCGAAAGGCAGAAGGAGATGCTACGGAACAACGAGTCCAAAATCCTTCACTTACAGGTGAGCAGCTGGCCCAAACTGCAGGCCCACCAGAGGGTTCCTGCAGACTGGCCCGAGGCTTCTGTTACGTGAACACTCTGGGGCAACCTGGGTCAGCACGGGAGGCCTAGGGAACTGGGCTATCACCTCTCTCCCATGCTTTCAACCCACTGGAGCAAAGTAAAACTTAAAGCCTGTGTTTTCAAAATTGGTAGAGCACTTGGCTAGTACGTACAAGGCCTTACATTCTATCCCCACCTCTGCAAAAACGTGTGTAGTGTGCGTGTGACATTTTCTCACCATTTAACACATTGTTCAGTTACTTGTGTGTTAAGTTTCACTTCCTAAGGTGAAATGAAACTAAACTGCTTTGTCCTGAGTGTTCACACACATTTGTCCAACTTTATTTCACCATGGGAATCCAGAGATACCCCCAAACAACAAGTAACTGTTTGCCACACTAAACTAAGGCGATGAGACAGACTGACCTGCCATCTTAATTCTATCACGAGAAATAGCCTCCACTAGGTGCTCCTTAGCTGATCATCCTTGTGGATGCCATCTGCGTGGAGATTCAGCGGTAGGGCACAGGGCTTTTAGCAGTTCGCACGTGATATACACCCACCCACATACGAGCACTTGTGTTGCTGGTATGGTTTTCCTTGCTTACTGTGGCTCCCTGGGTCGTCAGAAAGAGAAAACATTTCTAATAAATAGTCCTGAACCACTGAGAGGGTCTCCTCCTGTCTTGACACTGGAGATTAGTCGTAATGTCCTGAATTGCATACGCATTTATTAAATTAACTTCATTTGGGGCTGGAGAGATGGCTCAGCGGTTAAGAGCACTGACTGCACTTGCAGAGGACCCAGGTTCAATTCCAAGCACCCACACGGCAGCTATGAACCATCCTTAACTCCAGTTCCAGGGAAATCTGAAGGCCTCTTCTGACCTATGTGGCATTGCACAACACGGGTGCACTCACATACATGGCAGGCAATACACACTCATACACATAAAGTAAAAATAATAAAATAATTCTTAAAAACAAAACAAAAATTAACTTCATTTGTAATAAACTTCATGGTTGCCCAGAGAGACAAGGGACTATCACAATGCAGCAGGAGACTGTGTCAGATAAGGGACAAGTTATCAATATTCAATCAGGCCAAAAAAAGCAGTGTCTCACGAAGAACCAGCCAGTCCTCTTTGAAGTACCTGACATTTTTCCCAGTGGTGTGTAGCTGACCAGACTGTCCAAGGTGGGGAGCCAGGCTGCGGCTGCAGAGAGACCGTGTGCCGGCTTCATTGGGCCGCCTGGCAGGCCTAGTTATCTGCAGTATGGCTACTCTAGTTCACCTGAGGTCAGAGCGGCTGACAAAAAGGACAAGGAAATCAGTGTCGTGCTGCACAATCACCTGCTAAAATGTCTACAGCAGAGGAAAGAGCAGACGCCTTCACGGTGTTCCCGTTCCTAACAGCAATGAGGTCACCAGTCACGTGGAACCCACAAGACCTCATGGACATTTTATTTCTTCTTCATTTCTGCTGGATGTAAAAATTTCCTAGAGTTCATCACTCTGCTGTGTGTGATTTTGTGCCAAGTTTTATGGCTGAGTAAACCAATAAGGTGTAAGCCACAAAGACTGGCAGGGTTCGGAGCCCAGATTGGTGAAGACAGTGAGAATGGTTGTCAGCGTTGCCCGGACTTGTAGTAAATAGGCAGCGGCTGGCCAGCTCCGATCTCTGTGGAAAGAGAAGTACAGAGGAGATTCCGTCATGCTTAAGAAAGGAACTCAGGTCAGGCCCAGTCTCGTGACTCCCTGAGTGTGTGAGGGAGCAGCAGGAAGGTGCCAGAGCACCATGAGAGGCCCTGCTTACCATCCCCCGGCCTGCACTGCCTCTGGAACCACACAGGGTGTAGCTCTGTCCTGTGTCTTTCCAGATGCTGGTGGAAACCTCAGGTGCCCTGAGCTGAGGCTCCCTCCTGTACCTTGCATTTCTCTCCCCAGAACCCTTTGCCTTGCCCCAGCAGGGTTTCTAGTCACCTCTCAATTTGACCCCAGTCCTTAGAAGGTTGTGCAGTCCCACATGGACTTCTGAGACTTCTTTCATCACCTGCCTTTGCTGAGCAATATGGCGGCCACCTCAAACACCATAGGCGCCAGGAAGCCTTGCACGCCTGCCTTTGGTGCTCCCTTAACCCCGTGCATGAACCATTGTGGCGATGACCCTCCTGGTCCTCTCCTGTCTTATCTGATGTGCCAGCAGCAGACCCTAGAATCCAGCAGTGATAGGAGCAGGCCAGACGGGGACCTGACTGTGGGTCCTGAGGGAGTGGGATTGAAGAGGGCAAGTGTTTGCTGGTCCAAGAAGCATCCCTCCCTCCTTCTTTACATTTATTTTATTTATTTGAGTGGGCAGGGTACACGGTGCCATGGTGTACATGTGGAAGTCAGAGGATGGCCTGAAGGAATCAGTTCTCTCCCTCATGTGATGACCCAAGATTTAACTCAGGTAGAAAGAATATGTATAGGGGTGGGGACATGGCTCAGTAGATGAAGTGCTTGCCACACAGACATGAGTTCCAATCCAAGGAACCCACATCAGTGGTGGGTAGGCGTGGTAGAGCTTGCCTGTAATTCCAGTGCTCAGAAGGCAGTGATAAGACCCCCCAGAGCAAAGCTGGTTAGCTAGCCCAGTCATGTCCACAACTCCAGGTTCAGCTGGGAAACCTGCCTCAAAAAATATGGTGCAGAACAATCAAGACTCCATGAGTCATCCTCAGGCCTCCACACATGCACACGCACACCAGCACACATACATGCCCACATACTTGGGAACATCACATGCTAAAAAATTACTGTGTTTGTTTGGGCTTTTAGATTTTTTTCCTGGTACTAGGGATAGTATAGTCCCTTATTGGGTGTGGAGCTCCTGAGTCGTTTGGTTGAACCCCATTTGCGTGGACCGTGGACACACAGCATGTATGCCCTTGTCCCCCAATGGAGCACAGGGTGCTGACTCAGTGCCCTGTGCTGGCTGGGGAGCCTCACGGTCAATGCAGTGCCTTGTTCCTCCTGTGCATGCCCCCAGTTGTTGGAAGACAAGCCTCTCAGGACTCCCTCCTCAGTCCACTAAGTTACCAGACAGCAGCTCTCCCAGCATGATCAGGCTTCTCATCGGTGCCAGCACCAGCTTGCTTTACGTTTATAGGGAAAGTTAATTCAAGGATACCAAGGCTGTCAGTGTTGCCCCCTGGAGAGCAGACCTCATGAGCCAACTATGCCTATGGTCATGTGTTCTTATTTAAATAAAACATCAACATTGCAGGTGTTTTTGGAGGCATTTTGTGTGTGTACATGTGTGTACAGTTACATGCCCAGAGGGCAGAGAAGGACACCAAGTATTCTCCTCTATCGTTCTCTGCCTTATCCCCTTGATAGGGTCTCACTGAACATGGAGCTAGGCTGGCAGCCCGCAAGGCCCGGTGATCCTCTTGTTCCACAAGGTTTGGATTCTAGGCACATGGCTTTTGATGTGAGTGCTGTAGACTAGACTCAGTCCTCAGGCTGCACAGCAAATGCTCTGACCTGCCAAGGCATCCCCTCAGTCCCCTCTCTTCTTTCTTAAATGTCAGCTAACTTCAGGGTTCTCAGAAAGAACAGGGAGGTTTACACTGAGCCTTTACCCCGAGAGAGAATCCAGATCGGCCATTTGTTCCTTCTTGGTTAGTATAGACAACAAAGGTGCTAAAACCTAAAATTCCAAAAATAGACTTCCTAAAGAAGTGAGGCTGGCCACCGTCCTGGGGCGTCCCTGGGCGTCTTGTTTTAGGGGTGGCTCATCCACTCCGTGGCCTCCAGAGCTTTACAGATTCTTGCATGAGTGGAAAGCCTTCAGATCCCTGGCTCTATCTAAAAGGGAGACAAACAGTCCTTAAACACCAGCCATGGCTAGAGCACAAGTCTCTCCTCTGTTAACTGCTCCAGGAGGAATGTTCTAGAAAAAGGTTTTCTGAGTTATTTAAATTAAGATAGCGCCAATTGGGCCTGGTGCTGGCAGCTGCCCAGGCAAAACAGTGTTCACCTTCATTGCTTCCTGGTGCCCTGACCGCAGAAGCTGTTCCGTGGCTCGGTCTCCTTGGCTCTCTCTAGGCCTGAGGGCTCACTGCAAGCCTTCTCTGGCTGCCAGCTCTCAGGGCTTCTGGTGGAGAAAGGATGGAGGGGGTCTTTCTCTCCTGGACCTTGGCACAGTTCTGGGGTCCCCTCTATGGTTCCAGAACAGAAGCAGTGGCTCTGTCCTGGGCCATGCAGCAGGATAGGAAGACAGCCAGATAGGTGTGACTCCAGCATCCTGGACCTAAGACCCTTTGATTGACGGAGAGGGTAGGGTACATGCCTTGAGAATCTCAGCTCCACTTGGTACCTAAAGCCACCTGTGGTACCCTAGGTACATATGAATACAAGGTAGGAGGCCTGTGGCAACCCAGTGGATCCCTATAAGGATTCATGAACGTGAGGGCAGAGTTACAGCCGGGTTCTGGGAAGATGGCTGCTGGGATGTCGACAGGTGAGGGACAGGCAGTCAGGCGGCACCAGGAATGCCCAAGATAGGGACCCCATGCAGGAGCTGTGGGCAGATGAGTGAGAGCTGCTTCCTGGGCCCTGTGCACACTTGTGGCCTTGGGAGCAGCAGGTGGTCCCCTTTCCCTGGATCCAGCCCTCCTTTCCAGGTGTCTTTCTGTTAGCAGTGTACCCTGGATATGTTCACACGTTATCCAGGTCTTTTTCATAAGACAGATCATTCTGTGATTCCCACCACCCCTCTCTGTGCTCTACACGGCACAAGTTTCAGTCCGCAGGAAGCTGATGGGCCTCAGCTGGTACGCAGGAGCCAGCTGCTGCAGTCTGCATTTGGGGGTGGTAGTACCACATGCTGAGTTCTGACTGTCTTTTACCCTTAAACCCTCTGGTCTGGAAGCGAGTAATAGACAGCCAGGCAGAGAAACTGAAGGAGCTTGACAAGGAGATCCGACCCTTCCGGCAGAACTGGGAGGAGGCCGACAGCGTGAAGAGCAGCGTGGAGTCCCTCCAGAACCGTGTGACTGAGCTGGAAAGCGTGGACAAAAGTGCAGGGCAGGCAGCTCGGAACACAGGTGAGCGCACCGGGGCACCTGTTCCCAAGGCAAGTAGTGCTGAGCTCATGCTGCCCCACGATAGCCCCTTAGCTATAGGCAGTGAGTGCGTAAACAGCACTCTCCTGCTGAGTCTTCGGTAGGAAAGGTTTCCACTTCACCTTCCTTCATGGGAAGCCCAGGATGGCAGGGTCCAGAGCCCTCCCCAGGCGAGGCTGGGCCACCACGTGAGCATCAGGACATGAGGGTATGACCGCTTGCTAGTCACAGTGCTCCTGCCACGCTTGTGAGACCTCAAGACGGGCAGGGGAGGCAGGTCCAGCATGCCTTGGCCGAGTGTTTCTGACATTGAGGGACAGACGTGCACCCACAGCTTTGAGCCTGCCAGAGCAGTGTGAGGATTCCATGGAAGGATTTGGGAGGGTTATTGTGGTACGTGGTTGGATTGAGCAGATGGAAGGTGCGTGGTTGGAGTAGAATGGGGGTCAGCTTGAATTCAGAGCCTGGTGTCCCTGTTGGCGTCAGGAACATGGGGCAGGAGAGCATGGACGGGTAGGCAGCCAGGCCCTAGGCTATCTTCCCAGGGGATACCACCACATCTGGCTGTGGCCTGACAGTTTGTACACTGTGGCTATCGGAGGGGAGGAGAGGGAAGATGTCCGACACTGTCTGCCCTGCGCCACGTCTACTCCTGTGGCCACGGTGACTCCTCTGTGGTGATTTCAGACATTGGTACAAATTTCCACGTTGGTTTTCTAACATCCCTGGTGTTTGCATGTCTCACTCGCCAACTCTTTCCTCACCTACGGCAGGCTTGCTGGAGTCCCAGCTGAGCCGACACGACCAGATGCTGAGTGTTCATGACATCCGCTTGGCTGACATGGACCTGCGGTTCCAAGTCCTTGAGACCGCTAGCTACAACGGCGTGCTGATCTGGAAGATCCGTGATTACAAGCGCCGGAAGCAGGAAGCCGTCATGGGGAAGACCCTGTCCCTCTACAGCCAGCCTTTCTACACAGGCTATTTTGGCTATAAGATGTGTGCCAGGGTCTACCTGAATGGGGACGGGATGGGGAAGGGAACACACTTATCGCTGTTTTTTGTCATCATGCGCGGAGAATATGATGCTTTGCTGCCGTGGCCATTCAAACAGAAAGTGACACTCATGCTGATGGATCAGGGGTCTTCTCGGCGTCATCTGGGAGATGCGTTCAAGCCCGACCCCAACAGCAGTAGCTTCAAGAAACCCACTGGAGAGATGAACATCGCCTCTGGCTGCCCCGTCTTTGTGGCCCAAACTGTTCTAGAAAATGGGACGTATATTAAAGATGATACAATTTTTATTAAAGTCATAGTGGATACTTCGGATCTGCCTGATCCCTGACAAGTAACTGGGGAGGTGGATTTAGCAGAAGCTAACTCCTCCGGGGGGTTGGATCGGTCTGTCTTCACGGAGGTCCTCGCGCTCAGAAAGGATCTTGTGGAACAGAGGAAGCAACAAGAGGAGGATGCGTGGCCAGCGGGAGGAGCCGCTCGTGAAAACAGACCCGACGCGCTTTCTAAGTAGACTAGCCACACTTCACTCTGAAGAGTTATTTACCCTTCAGCAAGATAAATATTACTGTCAGAGAAGGTTTTCATTTTCATTTTTAAAGATCTAGTTAATTAAGGTGGAGAACATATACGCTGAACAAAAGAAACATGATTTTTCTTCCTTAAACTTAAACACCAAACAGGAAAACACATGTGGGGCTAGCTGGACATGTCAGCATGTTAAGTAAAAGGAGAACTTAGGAAATGATAATGCCATTCTGATATATTCATCCTAAAATTCAAGAGTGCAATCTTGTTTCAAATATAGTATATTGTCTATTTTTAAGGCCTCATCTGGTCTCTGTTTTAATAATTTGTTTGTCAGAAGACCCTGAAGTAAACCTAGGTCTTTTTTGAAAGTCTCTAAATTCAGAAATCTTTTTTTTAATTTAAAGTTCTACAGATAATTGTTATTGCAAACATTTTATTTTAAAACGTTGATAGACTGATATTTCTTGGAAGAAAATGTAAAATATCAAACACTGGTTATCACTTGTGATAGGAAAGAGAATATTCAACCTGTTGTTATTTCTCGTTAGAAATGTAAACCTCAATACCTGTCGTAGTTAATGACACTACTTCAAAATTACTATGAAAGGGACATTGCTCATGGATGCTGTGCATCATTTTCAGACTTAATTGTTTTCACCCTAAAATAGGGCATTAGTTGAACTTTGGAGTTCTAACAAAATCCTGTAGGTTTTTAAAATTCTGCCCCATGTTTAGACAAGCTCTCTGTTGTTGACAGCACCGACCTCGGTCTTCAGTGTCTGGGATGGGCTGGTGGCCTGCGCGAGGCCCCAGCGGGCATTCCTCATCCTGTCATCCTGTGCATGCGGCTAGTGGTCTCCGATGGTGGCATACGGTACATGTGCCTTAGATGTGACATGCTGCTTTTCGTCCCTGGGTTAGCATCACCATGACTCTGGAAAGTGATAGTTTAACCAGACGTCTCTCTCCACTCCAAATCTTGTCTCTGCTAGGGCCCTCAGAGAACTTGGAACCTGCCGGAGGGGAAGCCAGGCTCCGCCGGCACCGTCCGTAGCCTCTGCTGCTAAAGACCCACAGATCCCAACTCTAGGCCCCCAAGTGCAGCTCGGCCCTACCCCAGGGAGGCAGGTGTGGAGCAGAAGCCACACCCCTTCATGTCCCCACCCGGGCTCTAAGAGCCCACACAGCATGAAGGAGAAACACCCCCCCCCAGAGCATTCCAGAGACCACTGCTCTGGGGGCCTATCCAGGCTGGCCAAGAGCAGCCCTGGCCTCCCCATCAAACAGGGTAGTGGGCCGATGTCCCAGCCTGTCCTGCCCAGACGGCACTCTTGGCTCACTGTTTACGTCTCTCGATGGTCCAGCTGTGATAGAAGCCTGGAGCCCTGCCCCGGTGCCCTTTTGCTACGCACCACGCTTCATGGTGCTCTTACACTGATGGGTGCTACACGCGACGGGTGCTTCTTAGGCAAAACCAATGTGTGCAAACCACCATATCTGTGCCACTTGCCCAAAAGGCGTGCCCACAATTGGCCAGCTGGGCGTGCACTTCGGACTGCCTGCCTCTGGGCTCTCCCCATGGTGGCGCGGGGACAGCTGGGTTGGTCCCCGGTGGCCCACCTCGTCTCTGGTGCTGCCGTCTGTCCTGGGTGTGCCTTCGCCCCAGTGCCTGCTGGAAGTGCCCTCCTCTCGCACACTTGTCCCACGCCTCCATGAGCGACCTCCTGCTCTCAAGCACCTGCCCTGCCCTTCCGTGGCTGAAACACTTGTTCTCCACCTGCCACTCCTCTCTCCACTCTCCTGGGATTGCTGTGGGGTAAGTCAGCGACCTGGTTCTGCCCTAGGGGGAATAATCTCTGCTTATAAGGAAAGTCTGTGCACCGTCCCTTCAGAGACGTCCCCGCTCTCCTCCCCGTCCCCTGGGGTTTTACCCCAGAGACTGGAGTTGGGAAGACCACCTGGTAGCCCTTAGCAGGCCTGAGGTAGCTTTTCTGTGGCCAAGGGTCAGCAGCAGGGGCATCCCTGTCACTTCTCCTTTGAAGCAGTCAGTGTAGTACCAGCAGGTCTGATAGCGTGTGCGTCTGCCTTTAGGGTTAGACCCCTGTTTGAGTGTCACCCTGAGATGTTTTCAAACGTTCCCAGTTAGTGGGGTTCTAGGACTCCTTCCTGGGCGGTGGTGGGCCCTTCTAGCCTCCCCTGGGTCCCTGTAGGGTGAGACTGTAGTAATGCTGTCCCCTGGGATGAGGGTCCCAGCATGTCACCGCGTCCTGCCGTGTGTTGTCTCATTTCTTAGTTGACAGCGGACTATAGCAGGCAAGCCCATGCTTTGTGCCCTGTGTCTCTTGTGTGAAAGACCCACACTGAACATGTCTACTGGGAGGTATGGAACGCATCATGTTCTGCTGGCTGTGCCTTGCCCTGCTCCATCCCAGCATTTCTCGGTGCCCCTTTGGTGCTCAACACCTGGGCCGGCTCTTAAGCTGTGATCTCAGCATAGCTGAAATCCTGTCTGGCCCCGGCAGCAGCCAGCCCTCCCCACCTTACACAGTCCTGGCCACAAGAAACAGAGTGGTGGTGCACTCTACCTGGCTGTGCAAAAGTGATGCAGTTTCCAGCAGGACAATTGCCTGCTCTTTAAAGAGGCCAGTTGTTTGTTCTGTGGCCTCCATGAGGAAACTGGGCACAAATTCTGCTTGCCTGGGGGAATGTCGACACCTGCTCTGGCTGCCCCTGTCAGGATACAGGTCACTAGATAGCAGCAGCCCTGAAGGTCTGGCCCCTGGTTCTTGTGGGTAGCTGAAAGTCACGACCCAGGGCTATGCCAGGACTGAGGGCCTTCTGCCTTCTGGCAGGGTTCAGAAAGTGAGGTAGAGGAAGGCAGCCTGGGGACCCTCGCAGGACCTCTTTTACCTCTTGAGAATAGATTGGCACAGGGGAGCTGGGGCCATGCAGTGTTTCAGGCTGTGGGTAAGACAGAGGAGGAGTCTGGGGGAATATTTTGTGAAGTGTTGTGAGGCCCACAGAGGAAAGCAGAGCACACACCCCAGCTCATCCACCTGCCAGCCTCTCCAGAGACTGTGAATAGCATTCCAGGAAGCAGAGGGCTGTTGCGAATGTCCACATCCCGGCCTCTGTCCAGAAGGTACCATGTCCCTAAGGCAGCACAGCAGTCAGCTGAGCGGGGCGTCTGCCCGGGGGCACCTTCTTGCCTCCTTCCCTTTTCTTCTCCATCCACATTTTCTGAGGATTGGGGCACCAGGGAGTTGAAGCACCAAATGCTCCTGGGTAGCCTCCAGCAGGGACTGCAGACACACCACCCACGCAGCTCCCCCTTAATTGGCTTCCCTCTGACCCTTTGTGGTCAGCTTGTAAGGGCCTGGAAATCGGGCATAATTGCAAAGACAGCCAGTCACCTCCCCTGACCACCTTAGTCTGCCTCAGGGCCACCTGGGGTTGGGACCACATGCCTGCTATTTTGGACCTGTCATTAATGACACCCTTTTCACTGAACAGTGTGTGGTGGCGCTCACCCATGGTAGACTTGGCAGCCGGTGGATGGCATCCAGCAAAGGGAAGGTGTCTGGACATGCCCAGCAACAAGGTCCTGGGTGGGCCACTCCTGCCACCCCAAGAGGAGACCAGGGACCACCAGTACCAACCCCAAGGCCCTTGCCTCCTTCCTCTCCTGCACACTGCTAAGCAGTGCAGGGACTGTCACTGGTGCCTGGCTAAGACATTTCCTACCTGACAGGGTGACTTTTCCACCGTCTCTGGGTCACCACAGGGTGGATCAGCAACCCAGTCCCTACCCTCTGTGTTCCCTCCGCTTGGGGCAATCAGCACATTGGAAAGAGGCTCGGTGGAACTTAAGGTACTATTTTTTATTTTCAGTCTAGATCTTTCCTGGCTAGACTGCAGGAGAGCTAGTGGGAGTTGTGAGTATACCATTGCGTTTGTGTGTGTGACCAGCGAGGGTCCACCCCCCAAATCACACACCAAGCCCATGGTTCTGTCTTCCGTTTGCAAGTCGTAGCAGCTCTGTTTTCCCAAAGTAGAGTGTGCCCGCAGGAGTCTGGGTCAAGTGAGGTCATAGTCAGCAGGTCATCTGGCCATCGTTACTGTCCCACCTGGTGCTGGTTGCCACTGGCACTGTGGCATCAGGGAGCCGGATCAGCAGAGACGGTAAAGTTAGAAGCCAGCAGCCCATCCTGAAGGCCTAGACACCACTACCAGGCAGGTGGTCAAAGCAGCGACCCACAGCAAGGCCAGCCACAGGGCTGAGCAGGCCCGAGGGAGAGGCGAACGCCCCATTTCCCCTGCTGCGCCATGTCCGGAGGCTTTGAGTTCACTGTGAAAAGGATGTTACAAGTCGGTTGCTGTGCCACTCCAAAATCAGTTGTGACTGGCGTATACCCTAGACCCCTTAGACAAGTAAGATAACCTTCAACAGCAAACTAAATGACCCAATTGGAAAACACAAAAGCCGGCCTTCCAAGGATTTCCACATGAATCTGTAGGAACTCTGACTGAGGACGCGCGGGGTTGGTGTAGACAGCTGCGGACCGTTCTGTTCTTTTCTCTGATGGCACACCTCTTGTGTTCAGTTCTGTTACCCAAAAACAAAGACCAAAGAAGGCCAATCTCTCATTTGACTGTATTTTTAATCTGCCTGTTTGACACTTGCTGTCTGTAGGAACCGCTCGCTGTGAGGCCCCATCTTGACAGTCCAAGTGATTGTGACCAGTGATTAGTGTCCCGTGTTCTGCTCTTCTAAGAAACAAAGACAGTGTGAGTTATTGCTCAGCAATAATCTTGTCACTAGGAGGTAGCGACGTGTCTGATTTCCTGATAGCATTACGATGTTTCGTACTTCGTTTACTGTATACTGTGTGGTTTTATTTATTTGTGTTTTGAGGTCTTGCGATGTTTTTGTTCCGCTGCTAATAATAAAGTTTGTAAGACTGTAGAATGCAAAATTTTGCAATGCTAAACTGTCTATTAGAGGAAAATAAAGCTGATTAAGAGTCCTGCTTTCTTACCACACTGTCTCTCACTGCTGGGGTTGGGGCAGGCCCTTCTGCCACTTGGCTCCTCCAGCTGTTCTACAAGTGGCTGGGTGACAGCTGCCTTGGGGCACCCCATATGGCCAGAAGGGGCCACCCTTCTGGGGTGTGCTGCTGCCATCCTGAGATACCGGAGTGCTCTGAGGAAGACCTGCCTGTGCTCCACCCAAGGTCTAGCCTGCAGCTCTCAAGGCTGTAGTTTTGTCCAGGGCCAGTGCAGGGCCTTTACCCCTTGCTGCATGTGTACCCAGGCTCCTGGTGTGACAGAGAGGCCTCTGTGGGTCCCAGGATTGGGCTTGGTCTCACCCTGCCACTTAGAACTCAGCTTCCTCATAATGGGATGATAGCACCCACCTCCCTTCTGAAATGTGGGTACCAGAAAGCAGCACCTTACTGGCTCTGGGCAGGGCTTGGGGCATCTTCAGGAACTGCCCACCCCATGTCAGGGCCCTGGACCACCCCACCTGCAGGGCCACCCTTATTTTTCCCCTTAGTCCTTTGGTCCACACATGGCAGTAGAAAGCCCTTCCTCTGCCTTATGGTCCCCCCAGGTTGTAAGATGGTAGCACTGCTCAGCCTCCCTGACTCCGGAAAGCCCAGCCAAGAGCTGGGCCCAGAGGAGAGACTGTAGGCCACCCCACCAGGACCTCGCCCAGGTGTCTTTCATGGCCACTTGTACTCCCCATCCCCCAGCCTGGTGGCATCCAGAGACCTCCCAGGACTAGGGTAGTCCCCACCTCACCCCAGAGAAGATGGCACAGCTTTGCCAGCCCCTCTGACTTGTGGGGTCCTGAGTTGACATACTGACGTGGGTCACCTGCACACCTCCTCCCTTGGCCACCTTCCTAGTGACGCAAGTGTTGGGACAGGCCTTTCAAGGAGGACAACCAGTGGCAATACAGAAGTGGAATTTCTTGCCCTTTGTGGTCTCTGAGCCCTTTGAAAAAATACATGGGCATGGCCCATTGGGCTTAGAGAGACTGAGGGGGCCCACACAGCCAGCATCTGCCCCAGGGCTCTGGATAGACCCTGGAGCTCTGCTTGGAGGAGAAACAGGGTTTGGGGCTGTGGGCCTAGTGCTCTGACCTGACCCCACACCTCTTGGGGAGAAGACTGCCTGAAGGCCACATGGGCCTATGGGGCGGGAGGAGGGGCGCTGACTTTGACAGCCAATTTAGAGTCAAGTACAGACTACTCTCCTCTGAACCAGAGGCCAAAGACCTGGAGGACGTGCCTGGCAGCGAGAACTCTGGAACTCTCCATCCCAACCTCTGCACAGGGAGGAAGACGGCCCTCCTCCCACTCCCCAGGAGCACAGACGGGAACCAAGCCCGCAGGTACTGGGACTAGACACCAGCTGTGCCCTGCCAATGAATCAGTGTTGTGGGATATCCATCTTTTTTTTTTTTTTTTTTTTTTTTTTTTTTTTTTAATGTTCTGAATGTTTTGCCTGCAGGTATGTAAGTGTACCACATGTATGCAATGCCCATGGAGGCCAGAAGAGAGCATCGGATCCACTGAAACTGGAGTCACACACAGTTGTTAGCTGCCATGTGGGTGCTCGGAACCAATCAGAGTCCTCTGCAAGAGCAGCCAGTGCTCTTAACTGCTGAGCCATATCTCTAGCCCTGGGAATCTGTCTTAAAAGGCAGGGCCTGGGACTATCTGAGCCCCACACACTGTTCTGTGGGGGATTGCTGCCTGTGGCCCAGTGCTCACTCTTGCCTGCTCTGCAGGATTCTGTCAACATTGCTAGAACCACAAATGGGTGGGAACGAACACTGGACTCAGAAGACTAGGAAGTCTAGTGATCCTCCCTTTCTAGAAATGGATGGTGGCATGATCTAATCTCACATCAACTGCACCTTGTTTTTAAAACAACTGGGGAATCAGGACTGAGCAAGAAGCCCGCCCAAGCCCTGTCACATTGAGTCATCCCTGAGCATTTCAGGGTCACTTGCAACTTAACCCTGAGCACAAGCTAGTGGCTCAGAGCTAAAGTCCAGGGGAGAGATGACTGAGCTGTTCTAACTGGCCTCCACTGTGTGAGCCTGCACCAGGGCCATGGATTGTGGAGCCTGGGGGCTAGTAGCACATGTGGGTCCAGGGCTGAGGGCAGGGACAACAGAGGGCTGGCACCTGGAGTAGGATTTCAGGAGCATCCAGACACACCCACACCTCTGAGGATCTCCATCTGCCAGGGGTCATAGTAGCATCTATTCCAAGGTCCCCTATGGGGTGGACCCTGTGGTGACCATGGGTGGCTGGACCCTGCACCTCCAGCCTGAGGTTCAGAGATCACCCAGCACTGCAGCCCCATGGGGTGGAGCACACGGTGGCCGTGGCACTGGGTTTGAGGAGGCTCTACCTGTGTGCCCTCTTGCTGTGAAACTTGGGGCCTGGCCACTGAGCTGCCCCACTTCTGTGAGGTCCTACAGGCAGCCTGTGACACAGTTGCTGTGACTGCACTGTAGGCCAGGTCACAGGAACCAGCACTAGAGCTGCTTCTCCCTGGGATGACACCCTCCTCAGACTGCTCTTAAGCCAAGTGGCCTTTGTCCCACTCACTCCCACCCAGGGACAGCGGGTGTGCAAGCCTGGAGTCAGCAAGCCAGGCCTCCAGCTCTGGCTTTTCTTGACCCAGAGACCCATGACCTTCCTTCCTCATGCAAAGAACTGGAGGTGGCAAGTAGCCTTGTGAAAGGGAGGGAGGCAAGACAAAGGCTCTGGACAAAGACCCTCCCCAGCTGGAGGAGGCCAGGAGACTTACTGAGCAGCAGCTCCAGGCCAGCCAGGGCTTCTGGGGACCTCAGCCTCCCCGCTGCTCTCTCCTATTGCCCAAAGATGGAGAAGGCAGTGACCACTGTGCATTTGGCTATGCCCTGCCTCCAGAGAGCCTGCCCCACCTCCACATCAAAATGGAGCCACAGGCACTGGGACCCACTTTGCAGGTAAAGAAATGAAACAGAGACTAAGGGAATTGGCAGCTTCATTGTGCAGCAATGACAAGTGTAACCAGCCCAGACCCATCCATTTTACACCCTTCTGGGCTCGCCTCATTGGTCAAGTGCAGCCCCAGCCACCAGCCACAACGTGCCTGCCCTCCACCAGCTCCCAGCCCTCCACCAGCTCCCGGGCACCCCTCTACCAGCTCCCCACCCCACTCCACAGCTCCTGGCCTACCTCCTACACTTCCTGTGTCCCTGCTTCAGTGCTTTTGCAGGCTGCTTATTTCTGTTCTGCCCCCAAGAGGGCAGAGCTGTTACTCATGATTCCCCACAACTCCAGGGCAGACCATAAGCCACAGTGGCTAACCAGTGTGCAACCCCACACAGCCATCGGTGCAGAGTTGTGAATGAGCAGATGGGAGGCATCATGGTGACACTCCATCAGTGGCCCACTCAGGAAGCTCTCAGGCCAGCTTCCCTGGCAGAAGTTGGGTGTACAGAGGTACCAACACAGGAGGGCAATAAGCCAAAACAGCAAGAGGCTGAGCCAGGCCCAGAGCTGTTTGTCTAAAGCAGCCACTCCTGGTTTTTCTTCAGGGCTCTGCATTTTTTCCCATTTCCCTTGAGGGCCCTGATCAGTTCACCCTGTGGCCGAGTGCCTGAGGCTCGTACGCAGTCAAGGGCTTTGTGAACACTGCATCTGCCCCTGGTCCCAGGGGATCTTCCCACACTGCAACTGCAGCAGTGACCTCATCCTTGTGTTTTAATGCTGCGTCTTTCAGGAAGCCTCTCTGGCTGCTCAGGTGCCTTCACTGCCCTCCCCACAAGGCCATTTGGTGCAGGCTACGAGCACCAGCCTGGCCACAGCAGCTTGGTCCTGAAAGCTCACAATGGTTCAGCAGTGAGGGCCAGAGCCCAGTCTCACATGGCCTCCTCCTCACTGAGAAGCAAGACGGCAGCCAACAGGAGGGTGACTTCCAGAGTCCTCTTCGCCCCTGACCAAACCAGAGGTCAAGGGCAACCCCTTCTCCAGCAGGAGTGGCCAGCCCCCCTCCCCCCAGTGGCACTCAGCTGCCCAGCTAAGAGAACTGGTGCCTCCTCTCTTGAAGAGTAAAGGATAGCCAGCGCTAGGCTCCCTGCCGAGTGAGACCCCACCTAGGTGTTAAAAGGGCACACCCTCGTGGGTGAAAGACTTCTGCATGGGAGAAGCAGAAAGGGGAACAGCCGAGGGAGGGTAGGCACTCTGCAGATGAGCCCTTTGTGGCTCCAAGGAGGGCCAGGGCCTCCTCAAGCCTGAACAGCTCTTCAGTCCAAAGCCCTCCTGCACATCCTGCAGTCAGTCCACCACCCTGTCCCACTCTGCCCCCCATCACCCACGTATCCATCCACCATTCACAGGTATATCACCAGGCAGGCATCACAGCATCCATTCGTCTGTCCATCTGTACAACCTCAAGCCCAGGGCCATCCTGCCAGCACTTCCTGTATATTAGTTAACTTTTCACACTGCTGTGGCAAGTTACCTGAGAAAGGCATGTTAGGAAGGGAGCGCTTGTTTTGGTTCATGGTTGGAGAGCCGGAAAGTGTGGCAGGAGCACGAGGCAGAGGGTCCCACTGTGGTGGTGCGTCTGTGTCAGGATCAGAGAGGATTGTGGCTGTCTAGCTTGCTATCCTTAGTCTGGGACCCCAGCCTACGGTGCTCCCCACATCAGTGTAGATCCTCCCTGCTTGGTTTCTGGAAATATCTTTACATGTGTTTCCATGGTGATTCAAGTCAAGATTAGCCATCACAGCCTGCCATCCATCCCTCGCTCCACCTCTCCCAGCTTACCTCCAGGCCCTAGGAGGACTCTTCAGTTCCCTCTCACAGCATCCCTTCCGCCACCTACCTCAGGCCTTGAAGCCCCTGCAGACTAGGTGACCTTGTCTGCTGTCCATTTTCACCCATTCTCCATCAGAACCCCACCTTTCCTCACTCCCTTTCACCTAAACCGTCCTTCCAACTGAGGCACCCGGCCAATATCTGCCAAGCTACCTTCACCCACAGCATCACGGCTCATGGATCCATGTTCATCCATTCTCCATCCGACGGTCAGCTGCCGTCCACTGTGCATCCTTTTACAGCCCACTGCCCATCCTCCTAAGCCACCCACCATCCACACTTAAAATATGTGTCTGTTCATCATTGACCACCTTGCCACCATCCACTGTCCCCTACCTACCTATTGGTGACTATTTGACAGCCACCATTTCTACCTATACCCCTCTACCATCAACCTAGTCAGTATCCACCCACCATCCATCACCCATTACTATCAACCATTTAGCACCTAGCACCAGTAGCCACTATCCACTGTGTTCCCACACAAGCCACCTGTCACCCTGCACCACTGCTTGGTGAGCACGCACCCATTTATTTTCACTGTTCATCCTGCACCATCCATCCACTCACCAGTACTGGTCCCATAGAGGCTGAATCCCTCCACCCCTCACTCTCATGAGCCATCCATCCAGGCACATGCTGCCTTGCTGCACATCTGCTTGCCACTACGGGGTTCCTCTTCCTCTTCACCACTCACCCACCAACGACAGCTGCCCACAATCCCTGCAGACCCTCCACCAACCCTGGCTAGCGTGCCAGAGAAAGATGGGCAAAGAAAGCTAAGCCCCCCGAGGTTGGTGGCTGCGTCCACATCACATCACAGGGAAGGACTAGCTGGTCACCCTCTAGGCACCCAGAGCCCTGGATCTCAAAGGACAGGTGCCAGAGGTCACTGAGAAGGCTCCTGGGGGAAGGGGGGACTCAGGATCAGGCTGGGCAGGTCCGGAGGTAAATGTGTAACCTCTGGGCGACCCCTCCCACGCAGCTCCTCCTGGTCACGTGGGCCCCGCGGGGCAAAGTCCGCATCCAAGGCCACAGAGCAGTGAGCGAGATGGGCACACCGGGCCTGGTCCTGCTGTGGCTGCAGCTCTGCGGTAGGCCAGGCGCGCAACACCGCGTGTGATGCGGGGTCTAGGGACCCTGGAGGCGGAGGCTTCTCTAGGCCCGGAGGGTCAAGATCTCAGGAGAGGAGGGGGTGGGGAGGCAGGGCTCGCAGCCTGCCTCAGTTTCCCCGTCCCGAGCATGCGGCTGACGTCGCCCTTGCATGCAGCCAGCTCTGATCCCTTCCCCCCAGCGCCCAGGAGCTGTGACTACCGCAGCCCTGACCCCGTCCGACCTCCGAGCCCTTCGCAGCTCCTCCGTGCAGTCCGAGCAGGCCGCCCGGCTCCTCCAGCCCAGACTCCTTTCTGTGCCCCTTAGCCCAGACCCAGGGGTGCTGTCCTTAACCGACGCAGGCCGCTCCTCCAGAGTGCGGTAAACTGGGGGCGGGGAGGCTGGGCCGCACCCAGCGAGGAGGGCACGTTTACAGGGCTCCCCAGTCCGTAGCACTGCGGTGCCGCAGCGGGTCCGGGGTCCGTAGGAGCACCACGGGGGTGCCGCAGCGGCTTCCCCCGCGGTCCAACTTGCGCCCGGCCAGGCCAGGCCACCGTGGGGTCCCAACCCCACAGGGCTTAGTGCACAGGCCTTCTTCCCAGAGGGAGGCAGACACTCAGCCCGCCTCTCTCTAGCTCTGACGCGGGCTGCCCACAAGTTCTGGGTCCCTAACACCTACTTCGATACCGCCACCAACTGGAACCAGAACCGGACCCCGTGCACAGGAGACGCCGTCCAGTTCCCAGTGGACAAGGTGCCTTTAGGACGGCCTGGGGTGGGGAGGTCTGCCAGGCCCCTAGCTGACTCCACTTCCCACTGCAGATGGTGTCAGTCCTGGTGCGAGACAATTACGCCATCTCCGACATGGTAAGGCTGGAGGCTGTGGCTAAGGCCTGGCCACAGGGGGACTGGCCATTCCGGGGTTGCCCAAGCGCTTTCCTAGGCCTCTGTGCAGGCCTTGAGCTTGACGCCTCCGGAGAAGGCTCTGGTGGGGACACCTGCGCGCACATGGGGTCCCACTGGGTAGGGACCCAGGGGCCTCCAAGTCTGTCTGCTGCAAGATGTGCTCTGGGCTCAGGCCTGCCCTTCCCTGTCCTGGAGCTGGGGGTTAGCTGGGACCGGGGACCATTTCTCAATCGGCTTCACAAGGCTAGTGTTTCAGAGTGAGGCTAGGAGCAAGGGTTTAAGGGCCTAAGTTGGGGACCTTCTGCTTCTGGCAAGTCCTAAGGCTTCACCATGCACTCAGGGCTCTGATGGCACTGACACAGATGCCCCTCAGACTTGCATTCCTCTGGAGTGGAATTCCCTCTGGGCTTTTCTCCCTGCCCCCACCCTCATCTCTACCCTCTGCCCAGCTTTGTTTGTGGGAGACTCTCCTGCTTCCACCAGTCCTTGTTTGTTGGTTTGGGATGCCATGATCTTCTCAGCAGTGATCTTGGCCTGCGGTGCCATGTACAAACACTCAATTCCAGTCTCCTTCCCCAGACCACCAGCCTTGACCTTTGGTCAGTGGCAAAATTATTTCAGCTGTGAGTACCTGGGGAAGATGTGGATCGCACAGTTCCAGCCGGCAGTGCCTTCCCTGCGGCTCTGTGGGAGATCCCTGTATCTACAGAGGCCAGTGTAACCTTTGCTCAGTGTTCCCCGTGTTCCTTTGGAGTGCAGTTGCCCTCCTGGGGTTTTCCTTTCCCTTCCCTCCTCTCCCATCTCTACCCTTTGCCCTGCTTTGTTGGCGGGAGAATACTCCAGTCTCCTTTCGCTGTTCATTTACAAGGGGCTTTACTATTGGAGAGACGTGTACAATGAACACAGGGCCACAGAACACCAGGATTTAAGTTGAACACAGCTTCCTGCCATCAACTCATCCTGCCAAACTTTCTAAATTTTAGATTTTATTTTTATTTATTTTTTAATGTGTATGACTGTTATGCCTACCTGTATGTAAGTGCACCTGTGTTGTTCAGTGCCCATGAAGGACAGAAGAGGGTGTCGGATCCCCTGGAACTGGAATTAAAGATGGTTGTTAGCCCCCATGTGGGTGCTGGGATTCGAACCTGGGTCTTCTGCAAGAGAAGCCAGTGCTCTTAACCCCTGAGCCATCTCTCCATCTCCAAATATAAAAAGGTTTTAATTATGTGTGTGTGTGTGTGTGTGTGTGAGAGAGAGAGAGAGAGAGAGAGAGAGAGAGAGAGAGAGAATGTGCCCATGGAGGTCAGAGGCATTGGAGCTATAGGTATGGCAAGCTGCCTGATGTGGGTGCTGAGATCTGAACCTGGGACCTCCAGACAAGCTGTAAGTGCTCTTAACTGCTGAGTCATCTTCCCATGTTTCTCCAAAACTTTGCATTCAGCCGCATTCTTTTCAAGTCATACAGTGCTACTTGTAGAGGTCCTGCACAGGACTCAGACTGACTCAGAAGCACCTTACAGACCGGTTTCCGTCATGAATGATGCCTTTTACAAATTATAGTCTCCGGTCAGTTCTTTTCGCACAAAAATGACCATAATTCCTTTTGCTTTCCAGGCCTAACTTACTTTCTTTCTTTCTTTCTTTCTTTCTTTCTTTCTTCCTTTCTTTTTCTTTTTTTTTTTCTAACATTACCCCCTGAAGAGGTAACCCTAAAATCTTTCAGGGATTACATAAGAGCTCCCAAATACTTCTGTCATTTTTGGCCTTTGGAACACAGTATGTTGCTAAGAGGCCCAAGGACATTTTGACTTTTAGCCAAGAAACTGGCTATTTTTCTTCAGGGTCTTTTTACCCTAACTGCCTAGCCATCCTTCACACCATCCTCTGAAGAGGTTACCCAAATTGCTGATAGGGAATCGGGACACAGACCACTCTGGCTTCTTCCATGCTGAACAGGGATGCAGGGTGAGGCAATTGGGGTACCCCTTCAGTAGGTCTATCTAAAAGACTCCCAAATTGCATAACTCTTATCTCTAGGGGGAAAAGAAAGTCCTTGACTGGTAAATAGGAGATGTGAAGGAGAAGTAAAGGCAAGAGTAGTTACTAGCATTACAAGTTCTAGACCGGAAACCAGAAAACTAGATGAGGAACAGCTGATCTTCCTAAAACAAAGACCTCTAGATAGGCTGGCTAGATGGACAAGTAGTGGGGAACAGCTGGGGGGTGCCGACAACACAGTGGACAGTAGCAGGGATAACAGAGTGTAAGGGCTCTAGTGGGGGGAGGGAGGCTATGGGAGGGTGCCATCTAGGAAGTGGGTGTATAGTTGAATAAGATGGTTTGGGATGTTCTGTGTGATATACACACAAAAAATCAACAAATTTAAAAAGAGTTATATTTGAAGAGGAAGCATAAAAATTTACATCATGTTAATTAGTAGAGGGGATAAACATTACCATTGAAATCTACCCGATGACCTTATAGATATACACAGGTGCCAAGGATCTGAGTGCAACTGATTATGACTAGTAATAATCAGATACATACAGATTAGAGATGCTTTTCCTTCCTTTTTAAATTTAGGTAAGGTCTCACTGGGTAGCCAGAGCAGGCCTCAAACTTGCTATGCAGAGTTCAATCCTCTCACCTTAGCCAATCAATTGTTAGGATGACAGGTGTGAACCACCATTCTTGGCTCTTATTTTGTTTGCTTGAGACAGGATCTCACCATGTAGCCCAGGCTGGCAGACCCTCTGCCTCAGCCTCCCTGGTTCTGGGATTATAGGCATATACCACCTGGCAAACAAGCAAGTATTTTAGCACACACCTCTTCCACTCTCACTCCTCCCTCACAGTTTAGTCCGAACTTTACAACTGTTTAATAGTAGCATGCGGGTACACTCCCCAACCTTGCTCCTGGCACTCAGTCTTCTCACTGGCTCTGAGCATGTTTACAGGGCAGATCTTTATGGGACCTTTACTACATTGTGGGTTTGAGGCCAGCATATGAGACTGTTTAAAAAAAATAAAAAGGCCGGGCGTGGTGGCGCATGCCTTTAATCCCAGCACTAGGGAGGCAGAGGCAGGCAGATCTCTGTGAGCTCAAGGCCAGCCTGGTCTACATAGGGAGTTCTAGGACAGCTGGGGCTACAGGGAGACCCTGTCTCAAAAAAGACAAAAAAAAAAAAGAATTTTTGGTTAAAATATATATTGGTCTGGTGTGGTGGTGCACACCTTTAGTCCCAGCACTCAGGAGGCAGAAGCCAGCGGATCTCTGTGAGTTCAAGGCCAGCCTGGTCTACATAGGGAGTTCTAGGACAGCTGGGGCTACAGGGACACCCTGTCTCAAAAAGACCAAAAAAAAAAAAAAAATCTGGTGATAAATGCTCACTGCAAAATTCTACTTTGCTTCATCATTGAATTTTTTTTTGACATGGGGGTCTCATGTAGTCCAGGCTAGCTTCAAATTCATGAAGTAGCCAAGACTGGCCTTGAACTCCTCCTGATTCTCCTGCCTCTGTTTAGCAAGTGTTTGGATAACAGATTTGTGCCACTATGCCTGACTATGATAGAACATTTTGGACTGAAATGTTTGGCAAGAAAATATTGTTGTTAAGTACATGTGCACACAGTGTCCACAGAGGCCAGAAGAGGGCATCAGATCCCCTGGAACTGGAGTTGTGGGCCTCCATGTGGGTGCTGGGAACCCAAGTCCTCTGCAAGATCAGCAAGCACTCTTAACTGCTGAGCCATCTCTCTAGCCTAGAGAATTATTTTCTTTTAATATGTAACATGATTACTCAAAATGTAACTTTTTTGTTTTGTTTTGGTTCTGGTCTGATGTAGCCTTATGTGGGCCTCAAGCTGAGGCTGAGGTTCAAGTTTGGATCGTCCAGCTTCCAACTCTGGACTGGCTAGGATTTGATCCCCATTTTGGGGGGTTCTTGGGACTGAACCCCAGGCCTCTGGTACAGTAGGCTGGTCCTCTAACCACTGACTAAAATTGCCAGCACCTAACATGTTGACTCTATTGTCTTTTTATATCCTAGGTGATCTGTTCCTCTCTGAAGCTAGAATGTTCTCTGTCTCTGATAATATTCTGTGCGTGTGCACACCCATGTATGTGTGCCCATGTACATGTGTACGTGGGGATTTCCCAGTTCCACTTACTGGCATTCAACTTGAAGTTTTCTGACTTCAAACCTGGAAAGGGGTTTCTTAGTGTGTCCTTACATTTCTGCCTCGGTCTCTCCCAGACCTCATGATCTGGTGCTTAGCTGTCCACAGCCACCCTTCTCCAGGTCTCCCTTTCTGTGGCACCTGGACACCAGCACTGGTCACTGAGCACTCGGCAGCTCGGCGGGTCCTCGTGTCTAGCTTATCTGCCTCTGCTTGCCCTTTGATGAGGTTTCCATGTTCTATTCACATTCCCCCTCATGCTCTATCTGTTTGTGGTGCTGGGGACAGAGCCCAGGGCCTCACACAGGTTAGACTGGTCTCCCCTTGAGCCACACCGCAGCCCTGGTTCTGTGTGAAAATGTGCAACATTCACACTTTGTACTTGGCACACCTGTTCTGAGGTGCTGTTGAGTGTCTATCATTGCCTGCTTCTGGATACCTGAGGGTGGAGTACCTGACGTTCCTGTGTGGCACCCTTGGTGCCGGTGTAGCTGGCCTGTGACCTCATACCTGTCTCTGTTGTCTTTGTGCAGGTTTGAGGCTCTGGGAAGGTGGAAGAGCAGGCCCTATCTCCTCAAGAGGGACAAGGGGTGTGGGTGGTGTTGGTCCCCGATGAGTCTGCACTGAGCAGATGTTGGGAGATGGATGGAAGGGATCGGGTCCTGGCCTTGGAGGTGGGGAATCGGGCGTTGGGGCCATCCTTTCCCTTCCCCACCACCACACACCTAACACAGGAGGCCGGGGCTACTGCCGGCTTCACGGGGGAGAGGCTCCTGTGGCAGATCCGTGTGGTATGGGCGCGGCTCCCCCTTTTCTGGTGGTCCACTAGGGAAACTGAAGCCCCTCCCTAGTAGCCCTTTACCATTTTAAAGTTTAGTTTGCAGGTCTGTACTTTGTCTGGGGTGATGGGTTCTGGCAAGTGTCACCCCCTGTCCCAAATGCATCGTAGGTCTCCAGCTGTGTTCTGCTCCTTAGCCTCAGTCTTTGCCCCCGAGGCCTATGGGACCCTCTAGCCCCTGCTCCAGCCCAGTTTGGGGGCACTGGGCTCCTGGAGCCTTGGAGCCCTGGCACATACTGCGCGCGGCATAGAGCGTCCTTCCCTTTGATTTCCCTGGCGAGCCCCTGATCTTCCTGTTGGCTTCGGCCACGTAGGGCCGGGACCAAGCCACAGTCGCGGCCCCAGCAGACCAGGCTGGGCACAGAGCATGCCTGGATCACGTGCCGCCTCAACCTGCATCTTCCGCAGCTCCTGCCTCAGGATGGGGAGCTGGTGCTGGCCTCCGGAGCCGGGTTCAGCGCTGCAGAAGCCGGCTCCGACTCCGCCTGTGACTCGGGTGAGACGGGGGACCGAGACGCGTCTGTGCGCGGGGAGGGCCGAGCCCCACGCGCGGTCTCAACGCTGGGCGTGGGCTGCCCCAGGGGCCCCCTTGCTGTTCCACAATCCGGACCGCTTCTCCTGGCTGGACCCCCACCTGTGGCGCTCGGGGAACGAGCCGCGCCTCTTCTCGGTGGATGCTGAGCGCGTGCCCTGCCACGCCGACGACGTCCTCTTCCCGAACGACGCTTCTTTCCGCGTGGGACTCGGCCCCGCAGCCAGCCTGGTGCAGGTCCGAAGCGTCTCGGCCTTGGGCCAGGTGAGCGGGCGTGGGAGGGCGCGGGTCCCAGCTCCGCGTCCGCGGGTGTCACCGCGCGTCCTCCCGCCCTTCTCGGTCTGCACGCGTGTCCTCACGCGGCCACCCGCAGACGTTCACGCGCGACGAGGACCTGGCCGCTCTCCTGAGGTCCCGCGCGGGCCGCCTGCGCTTCCACGGGCCGGGCTCGCTGAGGGTGGGCTCGTCCGCCTGCGCCGACCCCTCGGGCTGCGTCTGCGGCAACGCGGAGGTGAGCTTCGCCTGCGGCGCGCGCTGCCCGGACGGCGGGCTGAGACCCCGGCCGCCCTCGCTCACGCCCGCGCCCCACGCAGATGCTGCCGTGGATCTGCGCCGCGCTGCTGCAGCCCCTGGGCGGCCGCTGCCCTCCCGCCACCTGCCTCGACGCCCTCCGACCGGAGGGCCAGTGCTGTGACCTTTGCGGTGAGCGCCAGGCCGCCCTCAAACTCCCCCTCGGCTCCCCTCTGGGGTGAGGTCCCGGCGCTGACCCGCCCTCCTGTCGCAGGAGCCGTCCTGTCGTTGACCCACAACGCTACTTTTGACCTGGAGCGTTACCGAGCGCGGCTGCTGGACCAGTTCCTGAGCCTGGTAATGAGGCCTTGGCGGGCAGGGGCGGCGGGACCCGGCTGCACAGAGATCTCCGAGGCCCCCTCCTCCGTGCGCCCCCTGTCCGCGTGGGCCCCTCCTCCGTGCGCCCCCTGTCCGCGTGGGCCCCTCCTCCGTGCGCCCCCTGTCCGCGTGGGCCCCCTCCTCCGTGCGCCCCCTGTCCGCGTGGGCCCCTCCTCCGTGCGCCACCCCATATGTGCCTCTCCACGTGCGCCCCTCCGTGTACGCCCCCTCCGCCGCGCACCCTCTCCCGGTCCCTTCCGCGGGGTCGCACTGTCACCTGCATCTACCATCCCCGACGCTGAGTCCTGGGCCCACCTTGTCCCTCTGCAGCCCCAGTACCAGGGGCTGCAGGTGGCTGTGTCCAAGGTGCCGAGCGCGTCGGGACCGCGCCAGGCGGACACAGAGATCCAGGTGGTGCTGGCGGAGGCCCGGCCCGAGACGGGCGCGGCGGGGCGTCTGGGCCGCGCGCTGCTGGAGGACGCGGCCGGACCAGGTAAGGGAGGCGCCCTCGCCCTGCGCGGCCGTGGCCCTTCAGCGCCCCTGAGCTCGCCTCGTTGCAGGTCGCGGGTTTGGCGTCCTGTCCGCCGCCCTGCGACTGTCGGGCGCGCCCGCCGCGGGCTCTGCGGAGGAGCAGGATGCGCTCAGGCCCCGCGCGGGGCTGGCGGTCGGCGTGGTGGCCGCGGTGCTGCTGGCACTGCTGGGGAGCGTGCTGCTGCTGCACCGCAGCGGGAGGCTCAGGTATGCGGCACGTGCACCCCCAGGGCGGCTGGGTGAGGCCCGGGGTCGCGGCTGCTGCCCGAAGGGGTCACGCGCGCGCTGGCGCCCGCAGGTGGAGAAGGGACCGGGAGGCGGAACCTGCCTCCATAGGGCTGCCCCGGGGGTTCCACAATCCGATTTTTGACCTGATGTCCTCCAAGGAGCAGGTGAGGTTGGGAAGGCAGCGTACTGGACATGCCCAGGAGGGTGGGAAGGCGTATCGGACATCCCCAGGAGGGTGGGAAGGCGTGTCGGACATCCCCAGGAGGGTGGGAAGGCGTGTCGGACATCCCCAGGAGGGTGGGAAGGCGTGTCGGACATCCCCAGGAGGGTGGGAAGGCGTGTCGGACATCCCCAGGAGGGTGGGAAGGCGTGTCGGACATCCCCAGGAGGGTGGGAAGGCGTGTCGGACATCCCCAGGAGGGTGGGAAGGCGTGTCGGACATCCCCAGGAGGGTGGGAAGGCGTGTCGGACATCCCCAGGAGGGTGGGAAGGCGTACCAGGGCATGTCCAGGGCTTGGCACTCGGCGCGGACACTCCCTGACCCTGTGACCCCGCAGCCCTCCGTGGAGTTACCCAGCCCATCCTCGAAGGTGGACAGCAACGCCAGCCTCAGTTACTTCGTCAACCCACTCTTTGCCGGGGAGGCAGAGGCGGAGGCCTGACCTTGGCTGGCCCTCTACCTTCTGCCTGGCATTCTCAGAGGGTACCAGGCCTCTGACCTTTTGTACTCTTTATCCCCTCTGAGACCTTGACCTCTCCCCTGGCCTCGCAGGACGTAGCCACGGGTTGCTTTGCCCAATAAAGGGTTTATTTGTACTTCTCTGCATGGGTGCTTGCTCCAAGTTTCCCACCTTCCCCACCCTTATATGGTTTGGCTTGGCTATGTCCTAGGATCTGAACTCAGGTCCTTATGTATCCACCCAGCCATCTCCCTAGTCATGGTGGGTTTTTTGTTTCTTTTTTAAAAAGCTGGTTGTGTGTGTGTCAGGGTGTGTGTGTGTCTAACCATGCAGCACAGGCAGGCTTTAACTGGGCTCAAGGATCCCTTTGCCTTAGCCTTAGGATTAGCCGGGACTGTCCCGCCATGCCCAGCAGCTTGTAGTTGACTTTCAGCTGCCCACTGGTGCTGGGATAGACCTGTCTCAACTGTTGGCCTGCTCAGGTCTGGTCTCAAGTGAGGAGAAGTGATGGGAGACTAAGAATCAGCACCAATAAGTTCTAACCCACATCACTCTTAACTGCTGAGCCATCTCTCCAGTCCCTGATTCTCTTAAATACTTGATCTCAGTTTCCCCAAAGAGCTTTATCCAGGTGTGTCATGTAGCACTGGGAAGCAAGTGTCCTTTTTTGATGTCCTATGATTAAGTTCAGAGTGTACTAAAAAAAGATCAGTGGTAATTTGAACAAAAAATTCCATTGGGGAACTGGGGCGTTGGCTCTGTGGGTTAAGAGCTTGCCGTACTAGCATAAGGACTTGGGTTTGGATTCCTAGCACCTACATAAAGCCAGATGCAGTGTGGCACATCTATAATCCCTGGCCTCCCAGTCCAGCCTACTTGTGGCCCCCACAGAGGAACACCTCTGACTCCACACACAAGCACCTGTACACTCAAACAGGCAAAAATGCACAACCCCTCACAATGAGATAAAGAAAAGTAGATTGAGCGGAGACAAGAATCTAAGATGGAATCCAGAGGTAAAAAGGAAACAGTAGATCTAATAACAAGTACATTATAGTTTTAGAAACACATTTCTTCTTCTAGAGTCATATTGGCTTCTATGAAAGATAAAGGCCAATTTGAAGAATGAATTTACCTTCATCATATTTGGCTTGATGAGCTCCTAAGTGTAGCAAGGAAAGCGATCTGTGACAGAAATCCTTCCATGTTCCGGGTGGGTGGAGGGTCGAACCACAGCTGCACCATCTCTGCTGTGCGAGGAGGAGGGGCTGACATGGGAGGGAGTTTTAGCCACTCACTGAGGCAAGAACCTCCAAGAACCAGGGATTTTTGCATTGTTTTCAAGTATGCTGTTTCCATCCCATCTTGTTACAGAGAACAGATTTCTACTGAATTTATGTCTATAACAATTTTGCCATAAAAATTCATCCTTAGCTGGGTATGGTAGTGCACACCTTTAATCCCAGCACTTAGAAGAAAGAGGCAGGGGATCTCTGTGAGTTCAAGGCCAGCCTAGTCTACAGTGAACTCCAGGCCAGCCGAGGATACACAGGGACCCTGTCAGAAGAAGAAGAAGAAGAAGGAGAAGGAGAAGGAGAAGGAGGAGGAGAAGTTCTGGAAACATAGCCTTTTCCCTAGGTCTTATGAGGTCAGTCTTGGAGACTGCGTCCCCCTCCTGTAGAGGCTAACGCTATCTCCAAGTAGATCCTGTCAGACTTTGATTGGGTTAGAAGAGACTCAGCTGGTACCTGCTGTAGAACTACTTACTTGCTTTGTTGCTAGGGAGAAAGCCCCACCCCTTTCAGGGTGACAGAAGTGGTCTGGTGGTCTGTATTATGAAAGTATAATAGAAGTGGAATTTGAGTTTATTTTTTCTAGCCTATAAATTATATACCAATTTAAAATTTTTATTTTGTTTTAAAAAAAGATGTATTTATTTTTATTTTATGTGTCAGTGCCTGCATGTATGTAAGTGCACCACGTGCAAATCTGATGACTGCAGAGGCCAGAAGTGAGTAGTAGATCCCTTGGATCTGGGATTACAGACCATTGTGAGTCAACATGTGGTTGCTGGGAACTGAACACGAGTCCTCTGCAAGAGCAGCAAGTGCTCTTAATCACTAAGGCATCTCTCCAGGCTGGAAAGACTGTATTCTAATAAAACTTTGGGATTCCTGCAATGAAGAGAAAAATCCCCAAAGGTATAAAGTGGAGAGGACATTCCCTTGAGGGCTGATGATGACTAAGTTATCACATGATTCTCACCCAGGCATCCATGTTGGGAGATGAAACTCGGTCTTTTTTCTTTTCTTGAGGCAAATGCTGTGCATTCAGGATAGCCTGGGATGCAGGATAATCCTGTCTCAGTCTCTGGAGTCATAGGAAGGAAAAAGTGACTAACCTCTTAAATATTTTGAGCTCACAAATTCTATATTAAGGTAATATATAATTGAAATATGAGGCTAAAGTCAAACTTGGCCATGCAAAAATTCAGAAAGTTTATCATCCAGAAATACTTTCTGCAAGAGATACTCAAAGATACATCAACAGAAGATCAGAGGAGGAGGAGGAGGAGGAGGAGGAGGAGGAGGAGGAGAAGGAGAAGGAGAAGGAGAAGAAGAAGAAGAAGAAGAAGGAGAAGAAGAAGAAGAAGAAGAAATCATCCTTTATGACCTTCAGAAGAATCAAGTCAGAAGAACAAAAAAAGGCTTTCACCTTCGTTCACAAAAGTGGGCTTTATCAATTTGCTACAAGCTACGGAGAACTTCAAACAGTTTTCTTGGGCAGGGTTGGGGCTCAGTAGCGGAGCACTTGACTAGGATTGCATGAAACCCTTGGTTCTATTCCCAGCACTGGGGGAAAAAAAAAAAAAGTGTTCTTAAATTTAGAAAAAAAAAAAATTCAGTAAAGAAGCAGCAATGAGGCTGGCGTGATGGCACACCCGTAATCCTAGCATCCAGCAGGCTGTGGAGGAGGACTTCGAATTGGACCATGTAGCAGGAACCTGTCCCTAAACCCAGAATGGGGCTGGAGCGAGCTAAGCAGTTAACAGCACTTGCTAGTCTTGCAGAGGACCTGGACTCAGTTCCCAGAACGCACCCTGGCGGGCTCACAGGTGCCTCTAGGGGATTCAATGCCTTCTGGCCTCCTTGGACACCTGCACATACGCATGTGTGTAGAGCACATACAGACATGCAGGCACACACATAAATAAATCTTAACCAAGAGCCAACAACGTTTTATATAAATGAAATAAATGCCTCACAAAGGTTGTGTTTGGTGTCAGGTGCCTTTTGGTTTGAGGTCAGAGGTCGGACTTGGGTCTCTTCTATCACCTCCATCTTGTTCTGTGTTTTTTTTTTTTTTGTTTTTTTTTTTTTTTGTTTTTTTTTTTTTGAGACAAGATCTCATTAGGGAACCCTGGCTAGCCTGGAATTCACTATGTAGACCAGGCTGACTCCAATCTCACAGAGATCTGCCTGCCTCTGCTGGGATTAAAGGCATGTGTCTCCATGCCCAGCCCTCCACCTTATTTTTTTGAGACAGGGTGTCTCACTGAATCTGGAGCTCACAAACTGGGTTAGACTGGCTGACCAGGAAGCCCCAGGGAGCCTCCTGTCTCTGTGCCCCCAATGCTAGGAGTATAAGCACACAGTACCACACTTGGCATTTTTATGTGGGTTCTGGTGGTGGCAAGCAGTTTATCAACTGAGCTGTCGCCCCAGCCTTTTTTTATTTAGTTCATTATCTTTTAGTGTTTATATTTTTATGTATGTGTGTGCCTGTTATGTATGTGCACTGTATGTGTGCCTCGTGCCTGTGGAAGCCAGAAGAGGGTGTCAAATTCCCTGGAACTAAGGTTACAGATGGTTGTGAGCTGCCATATAGGTGCTGGGAACCCAGGTCCTCTGCAGGAGCAGCCAGTGTGCTTAACTGCAGAGCCCTCTTTACAGCTCCTAGTTCATCGATCTTGAAAGTTATCAGAAGCCTGTCGAGAGAGTACTAGTCAAGTCTTCCAGAACCTGGTGCAACAAATATCTCAGACCTGCAGGTGATAACATTCAATAGGGCGAGAGAGATGGCTCAGTGGTTAAGATCACTTTCTGCATCCTCATGGTGGCTCACGACTGCCGGTAACTCCAGCTCCAGGGGATCTGACACCCTCTTCTGGGCACCGTGGGCTCCCACACACGTGTGGCATTCACATACACACAAATAAGTATTAAGTCTTTAAAAAACAAACAAACCCTTGGTTGGAGCTTTGATGAGAATTGGTTTTGACAGGCATGTTCAGATGATGGGGGTTGCAGCATGTTGGAATTCTCACATCAGTGACATGCTACTTACAGAAGACTTGGAATGCGTTGGCTGATGCTTTCCATGTCATCCAGCACTCACACTCACTCAGCTGGTTGCTTCCAAATGGGAGATGTTCTCTTGGAGGCTCTTCAGGGCCCAAATGGAAAACAAGAGTCCAAAAAACATCATTACTGATCATCTGTGGAAGTGGCCCGACCTCAGACCCCACTGCTAACACCAGATGCGACAACCGACAACTAGGGAGATCCTCCAAAGAATGGTGATCTTGGAAGAGCCAGGACTGCAGTGCGGGCACATGCGCCCAGGAAGCCGCAGGCCTGTTCCAAGAGGCTGAAGCAAAGGGGAGGTTTTAGAATTTTTGAAAAAAATCCTTGACTGGAAGGATTCATGAGAGGCACAGGTCTGAGGCTGAGGTGAGTTGGGCAGATCTCTGCCTGTGGGCTGTGGCAGCCTTTGTAGGAGGCCGTGGAAAGCCTTGTGATAGTTCTTTTCAAGCACACTGCGGCACGCACAGGATCTTTTTCATTTATTTTTTTGTCTTTTTTGAGACAGGGTCTCCCAGCTGTCCTAGAACTCACTATGTAGACCAGGCTGGCCTTGAACTCACAGAGATCCGCCTGCCTCTGCCTCCCGAGTGCTGGGATTAAAGGTGTGCGTCACCACGCCCGGCTATATTTTATTGTTTTTATTTATGTGTATGAGTGTTATGCCTGCATGTAGGTAAGTGCACCCGTGTCGTGATACCCACAGAGGACAGAGGAGGCTGTCGGATCCCTTGGAACTGTAGTTATGGGCAGTTGTTAGCTGCCATGTGGGTGCTGG